GCGAATTTTAACCAAATATTAAAATGACATCATTTTAAGGGGGAATTAAATAAAAATTCGATATTTACCAAGCCCTTTGATGTGACATATACGTCCTTTAGTTTTAAATCTAAATTCTGGTCCACTGCTGTTGTTTTTGCCAGATACTCCTTGTTTTCTGCAATTCAATGTTTAGGGTTTTAAAGGAAACACTTTCAAATCTTTCGTATATAATGAAAATTTATAAAATGTTTCAATCAAAAGTCAATGACCAGAGTTATGAATTAACCAAAAGAGACTCTGCTAAAAATACAATCTCCCTACCTTTCAGCGATTTGTGATAGTCAATGAATTCGGCTTCATGCTTGGGAGCTGCCATCGCTTTTTGGTTTAGTTTTTCGAGTTGTTTAAAAGCACGATTTTCCACATTGTACCTCATGAAGACGCGTTTTGCCGAGAGGTACACCGCATTGTTCGACAAATAATTCCCCATTTTCGCTAACACTCGTTTGTTTTCATTGAAGACAATTGTTATACATAATATTTTCAAAACACTCTCCTCCGTTCTAATTACACAGCATGATTCTAACCCGAAAAACGGAAAATGACAGCTGTCAAACTCCGTCTGGTTGCGTTAGCATGCGATAGAATGTTTTGCGTTTGAAGTCAATGTCATTTCACAAACAATTGCTAGTCATGGATAAAAACATCTAACAAAACATACACAACTCCTCATGTGGCATTCAACTGATAAAAAAAAAGATAAAAACCAATTAGTGTTGTTGTCCTGAATCGTGTTGTAACTCAATTTTGTGCTATGTTATGTTTTGTTTTTAATTCATTAGAACATTCCAAATGAAGTAGATCGAGTGAAAATCGTGTCATTGTTTGCAGCAAAGAAAAAAATGAATTGACAGAAATAGTTCATGTTTACAAAATAGCTGACTCTGTCCATTTTGTATGAGAATTACGCAAACGAAGATAAGACGATCGCTCAAAGTTCAATAAAACCATAAGTTTTTTTTAGAAATTTTCCGTATATTTAAAACGAGCAAGCGTTCGTAGTGCAGTGCATGTGTTCAAGGTCCAAGAAGGCAAAGTTCACCTAGTAAACTAGAATTATTCCAACGCTGGATTAAACAAGAAGTGGTGGTTGATGTCGATCATTATTTATGCCAATCGTTCAACACTACAATGTCGAATGCAACCGAAGATCTACCCGAAATCCTGGCACGAGCTGTGACTGCCATTCAGGATCGACAACAAAGCAATCAACAAAATAGCCAAAGCAATGTCAGCGGATCAACCGAATCATTCCCAGACGTCCATAAATGGCGAAACATACTATCATTTTGGGTGCTGGGAATGTGCAACAATTACGGATTTGTTGTGATGTTGAGCGCAGCATATGATATCATTAAACGATTCGATGGAGTTTCGGTACGAAATGATTTCACTGAAACCAGATTCATTTTTCATTCAGGTCATCACAGTATATTGAACTTTGTATTTCTTCTCAAAGGACGATAAATACACGGATGCATTTGCATTGGCCATATCTCGTGATTGTATAACAATGCCCATAGGAGTTTTATTGCTGGCAGATACAATACCATCGCTAACCATTGCTCTGCTGGCACCATTCCTGCCTTTTTATATCAAGTGCGTAAAATTTACTTTTCTTATTTGCAACTTTTAATACGCCCTTCATTCTGTTATTATTATTATCATTATTTTCATTTCATTAACTCATGCGTAGCGTGCGAATGGCATTGGCATGTTTACTATCGGCGACTGGTTTTATCGTTGTTGCAGCGGCTACACACCGATGGCACGCTCTTCTTGGCATTATTATTACGTCACTTAGCAGCGGGCTGGGTGAAACATCAATGCTCGCATACACTGCGAAATTCAACAGGTAAATGTCACATCGACATCGGCCCAACCAGAACGATACAGAATGTTGTATACAAACATGATGTAATGTAGTATAAATATTTTCTTTACTGGTTTCGCCCATTTTTCGCGCAAATAGAAACGTCATATCAGCATGGTCATCGGGAACTGGTGCAGCTGGAGTGGCTGGATCATTGACATACGCCATGTTACTCAAATACGGCTTTACGCCAAAAGCCACGTTACTTCTAATGCTCGTCGTTCCTCTGATACAACTAGCCACATTCTCAACAATTCTAAAGGAACCGAATCGACTATTCACTTCGTCGAGTGCATCATCGACTACTTCGTTAATCGATCACTCGCTCATGGATCACGATATTTCAATAGCTCAAATCCCATTGAGTTTCAAACAGAAAATTGAATTCTTCCCAAAGATGTTTAAATATGTGTTCCCTTTGTTTGCTGTTTACCTTTGTGAATATGTTATCAATCAGGGCTTGGTGAGTGTGTTCAAATCGAGTTTTTAATTTTTTACAGCCAGTACTTAGTGTTTTCACGTTATCAGTGAATTTTGATGGAAACTTCAAAAAATAAGCGAAAATCAATTGAAATTCTTTGGTCGGTTAATCAAGGGTTACATTTTATCAACCAAAAATGACTACTTCTTTATTCATAGATTGACATTTGTAGATACGGCTATTCATGAATCATTCTAAAAAAAAATGCCATTTCTTCACTCTCTCATTCCAGTTGGATCTGATATTCTTCCCACATATTTGGTTAGATCATCCGGCACAATATCGCTGGTTGCAGGTTGACTATCAAATTGGTGTGTTTGTATCGCGTTCATCGCTCAGTTTCTTCGAAACCAATCAAATCTGGATGATGTCCATACTCCAGTTTGTGAATGTCGTTTACTTTTCATTCCAAGCGGTATTCATGACCGTGCCGACCATTTGGATTATTTTTGTGATCGTATTCTGGGAGGGATTGCTAGGTGGCTGCTGCTATGTAAACACATTTAATCGCATATCCAAAGAGTTGCCCATACGGTACAAGAGTTTTGGACTGGGTATGACAACAATTGGTCAATCATGTGGTGTGGTTTTAGCCGGACTACTTGCGATACCAATACATACCATAATATGTCAAATGCCTATACCCAGCGTTTTGGATTAGATAAGATTAAGTTGAACGATGAACAGACTGATATCATTTCGGACTGGTGGTGCTATTTGTAATATACGAATCTCGTATGTTGTATGTTAACTCAAAAAATCTGTGAATAATGTGTTGAAACTACTTAAAAAAAAGAAACTCCGCCAAATCAAAACTATTTTTTTTCTACATTTTTCTGTACACATTTTCAGAATAGTGATTTTCGTCGAAATTATAAAGCTCATTTCTATATAAACATGTTTACTCTTCTTTTTTCAAATTCTTCGTTCAATTCCACTTGATTGATAACGATTATGCGAATTTATTGTACATACATCGCAACAGCTGTTCATGACAGAATTTGTTAAATAAATTTTCTTTTTTCATATAAGAATCGATGTTGTTTTGTTTATGTTTGTAGGAAAATATGATTGTGTCTCGAGACGAAGAAAAAACAGGAAATTTCCAGAAAAACATGATTTATCTCGCTACTTGATTTTCATGTTTGTGATTTGCATTTGAATTTTCGAACACATTGTTTTTTGCTCTAGAAAAAAGGTGTTCGGTTTTTGAACCGTTACCGCACAACGTATTTCTGCTTTGCGTGTGGTACACCGAACAAACTGAATTTTTTTATGTACGTATCTCAACCATATTACATTATAACACTGTGTGTATTTGAAAATATGCGTTGAGTACTACGTGAGAATTTGGAAAGAAGTTATTCGCTTTCGGAAGGGAAAACCAGACAAATTATGTCGTCTTCTTTTATTTTAAAATAGCACAGTGCGTAGATTGGCGCGCTTTGCGTATGAAGAATGGCTTATTCTAAATTCGATAAATACCATCATCAAAACACATTTGCCATATACTCGAATCAAAACGACCGCAACTACAACAATATAAATATTTATGTTGCCAGTTTTGTTTGTGTGCTCTTTTTTTTCTCGGAACCATATTCTACTTGACAACATGGTGCTTCTTTATGCCACCGCTTTAGAACATGTTTTCTTTGTCGCTTTACTGTGAAACACGTATTCAAATAAATAATTCATCAACATTAATTTTTTATGTTCTTCATTTCGTGCACCTTTCTTTTGGGCATTGTTTCGATAGAGAAAAAAATCGCGACGATTTTGAAATCATTCAGCATGTCTTTTTTATTTGCTGTTATTATCAAATGTGTTCATACTTTGATTGTACCATTATCTCTACCTTTTGATTTCTTCTACATTGAGATTAAAAAGCGGCCTATTCTTTTTCACTATTTCATATTTCTCAAGTTGTGTCTATCGTCAAGTAGGGGATATTTTTTTTAGGAAAAAAAACAGCAGGTAATGCGAATTTGCAAATCGATTTTATAATCTCTGGCTTAAGCAGCAACACCCATCGATCGAATATTTCATATATGTGTTTCTTTTGTTAAAAAACTCTTTTTTTCCCGCCGTCATTGTTTAACATCATAATTCTTCTTCTGGTTAACTCAGTAATGATGTGTTAAAAATGAAATGTTGTGTGATAAACGGCATCACCTAATGTGAGATCATGTTCTGATACGAAAACACACGGTGTTTACAGGTCAAATGCCCACGTTGAACTGTGTTCAAAAGACAACGAGGTTATCAAAATGTCACACAAAGTCAAAAAGTGAATTGATTGAGTGTATGCAATTGTTGAAATGTTACCGTTCTAAAGGTCCGAATCAGCAGAAACTACAAATGAAAAAAAATAAATGGTGATGCGATAAAAACAACCGTATAAGAAGGCCATTTGATACGAAAATAACCATAATAATGGAAAACTCGTTTGGTTTGCGGATGCAAATTTCGTCTTTCCATATGAACCGCAAATATGTTCTGGGCTGTGCTCTACGGTTCAGGTTCAGGACATATTAACAAACGTGATACGGAATACAGATCTCGGCACGATCAACAACAGCACACAGAATTGATAAAGTGCGAGCGAATACGTTGCGCACCGCATACACACACACACACACCGTGTGGAATTAACACCGTGTTCACATTCGATCAAATGTGAATGTTTGCACACGCATGTGTGTATTAGGGAAAATGTTGAATGTATAATGGATTAACTGTAGCTAATAGTTGTGTTTATGTCTTTTCCAATGCGTATTACATACACGATTTTTTTTTCCATGTTATATCGTATGACGAACTTGTTTCGTCGTTTCATCAAAAGTAAATATTTCAGAAAAAAATGAGAAAACCTGCGACTTTCAACCGCCGTATCGGAACGAAACACATTCAGTGATAAAAGAGCTTTTGCAATGAACAGAAACCGGAGTTAGAATTCGTACATCGAAGCTACAACACACAGACTGGTGCTCTCGTGCGCAAAGACCGAAAATATTAAGTAAACGGTTGAGAGACATAAATTCGGCGGTTATTTTTTGGTCGAAATCAAAACAAGTTCAAAAAAAAAGAGATTTATTCATTTTGAAAGTTGATGGGGTTTTCCGTGAAAGTAATTGTTTGGAAGATTATAAAAAAATATTCAAGTTCAAGGAAGAAATAATCTTTATTGATGAAGTGAATTGAAAAACGAAAAAAAAACAGAAACCAAAAGTTGAATTAGTTAAAAAAAAATCAAAAGTGAACAAATATCAAAATGAAAATGAGGATTTTATTGAATAAACTGTTTTGTGTCCAGCAAATAGAGACAAAAACCAAAAATGGTCACATCGAATCGAACATTCCGAAGAAAAAAAGTGCTGATCCCGAATTGTGGCGAGATATTCTAGCCTATTGGATACTGGGTCTTGGAACTGAATTCGGATATGTTGTGATGATTTGCGCGGCAAATGACATACTACATGGCTTCGGACATTCAAGTGTAAATAGTTTTTTGTGTTTTTGTTCTCTCTGGAGATTATCTGCTTATGGGGGACTTTTGTGTCCGTGACTTCTTTTTTAAATAACTGTGGCTCCTGAATAATTGTTCTATAATAACACTTTTATTTTTAGTTGTGGTTATTTTTCTCATACTGGGAAAATAAACTTACGATCACAGAATTTGAATGAGTATAATGAAGTTATTTCTTCACTTTTAGCCAACGGAATCGTATCCAACAGCTGACGATGCGGACAGCATTCGGCAAAATGTGTGTGATACACCGTCAACGGGGGTTTTATTGATAGCTGACATTGTTCCGTCCATGCTTATGAATATTTCATGTCCGTTCCTACCGTTAGCTAAAAAGTGAGTTCAAACCGATTAAATTTGCATAACTTCTATTTTTAATATGATCCATTGTGATTTGTGGTTTTTGTGGTACGTGTGCAACTTGTAACATGTCATACGATGCACAATCGGAGTTTGTTAAACAAATAACAATTCGTAAAACCAGTCGACGAGACGCATGAAAGTAAATAGTTCTCGCATAGAAACACGTGTTTTTTTTAAAGAATTTCAAATGTCTTTTTCTTTAGTGAAATCTTGCAAACAATTTACATGAGATATTTTACAAGTGTCGCTGAATATTATAGCCAGACACAGTTCAGTAATGGATTTATCGTTATAAATCCTCAAATCCGAAAATTATTTTGGAACAAATTGAAAATTTCGATTGTGGGCTAACGATTTCGAAATTCAGTGCAGTACAAACATTATTGATCATTATCAACATCACTTCTGATGAATTTCAATTGTATCAATAAAATCAGTTTTGCAATTCAATTTTTTGGAAGTATTTTCGAATGTAAACAAACAATAAATTCCGACATCATTTCTGTGTGTCGAAATATGTTGTCTCTGCTTGTAAAGTTGCAATGAATTTCCATTGAGTTCATATTCAAGATATTTAACCGTTTTTGTTGCCTATTTAATGTCTAATTGAATGGAATGTGGTAACACCGGTAAACATTCTTTACTGTGTAAATTGCAAAAATCTGCCGTATAAACAAAAATATTGCATATAATTCATGATCACATTGAAATTGTTCAAGATTCTGGCATTTTTATTGTCGCTTCCTATAAAATATTTCATTTGTTCTGTTTTTTATTTGCAGTATCCGAATGATGTTGGTGATTGCGCTGAATGTGTCAAGTTTTCTGTTAATTGCCAACACTGATGCAGAGTATTTAGCGATAATGGGTGTTGTGTGTACATCACTGGCGCTCGGGATCGGCGAGGTAACGCTACTGTCTTATTCAGCACAATTTAACAAGTAATTGTTTTACTTTGGAAGGTGTTCACACACATGATTTTCAGCATTGTTAAACCAATGAATACATTTTTTCTCTTTACTCTAGAAAAGTGATAACCGCATGGTCATCGGGAACAGGTTCGGCGGGTATAATTGGTTCATTGAGCTGGGCAGGTCTCATTGCTCTTGGAATGTCGCCACGTGATGTGATGCGTCTTATGCTAATTGTGCCGGCTATTCAAGCGGTTACATTTTGGTTTTTGTTACGTTCACCACAGAAGCAGGTGGTTAAGAGTGGTGTGAGAAATGTCGCCATTGCTACCATCGCCACCATCGAATCAAATAACTGTAGAGCGGACAGCGTGTTGCCATCGCTTGATGTCAAGCCGAGTGGTTTGAAGGCAAAACTTAAGTTTGTCCCGAAATTGGCTGGCTTCATCGCTCCGCTGGTCATTGTTTTTATATTCGAATACATTTGCGTCTCTGGATTGGTAAGTTTTGGTCGAGCTGCATCTTGGTTTTCATTCAGATTTTAAAAAAAAGAATGATCTTACGTTAATTCATGTATTTCAACTATTTTTTTTATTCATTTTTCTTCCAGTTTGAAATGATCTATGTGCGAGACCTTCCATTCGGATTGAAATTCGACGCAGAGTCACAATATCGCTGGTTCCTTGTAACATATCAAATTGGTGTTTTTTCTAGCAGATCTCTCGGCGCCTTTTTAAAGCCACGCCGAACATGGTGGGCCACCATAGCACAGTTTCTCAACTTTGGTTTCTTCATGTATGTGACAGCCACGGTGCAAGCATCAAATCCATGGATCATATTCGTCTTTGTGTTTTGGCTTGGTGTCGTCGGTGGCCTTTGCTTCGTGCACACTTTCCATCGATTAATAAAAGAATTACCAGCGAATCAGCACAAATTTTCGCTGGGAATGATCACAATAGCCGAATCGATCGGCATTGCCATCGGAGGCTCTTCAGCGATATTAATTCATAATATCTTATGTGGAAAACTGCTAGTGACTAATTAACGTTCGGGTTTTAAGTTATTCGATAGACTTTAGTGTAGTTATTTGTAAACAGAATTTTATGGCTCGATTTGTAAAAAGAATTTGTATCAGCCGAATGTTTGAATGAATCAAGTTGAACGGTGAATGGAAAAATATTTTTATGATAGCTTTATCGTGATAGTTGAAATTCCGAAATAAAAAAATGTGCAACGACGCATAAAATTGCACTTGAAATTTGTTAATCAAAAAATGGCTTAAGTTCAATTACTTACTCACTCCAGTCGATTGACTCGACCAGTCGAACGAACACATTATAACTTTTTATCAGCTGACTCGTCTCCAATGGACTTTTGAACAAAACGTAAATAACACGAACATTAATAACACTACAGATGTGGGCCACCTTTGTTTTTGTTGACTAATATAGAACATTTTTTCTATTGTCAATGAAACCACTGATTTATGAAATGAAATTGGAACAGCTTGAATTCTATTTTTTGTGGAAGTGCAAGGTGCATACACTTATACTGTCTCCACTTTGAACATTTCTTCGCAAAATTAATGGCAGCCACAAATCATCGTGACATCGATCCCATTGAGAAAGAAGGTTAACAATTTTGAAACGAAATTTTTTTTCGACTCTGCTAAATCTTATCTGACAAGTGAGCCGGAAAAAGTGTATTCACCTGTTTTTGTATGGTCAATGGATGTCTAGATTTTATTTTATGATTTATGAATTGGCTTTTATAAGCTTTATGATAAACATAGCGTTGGTATTCTGTGCTCATTTTCGATTTTTTTTTTCTGCCAATTTTAAATCGCCAATTTGATTTGTTGCTTCTACCCAAAATTCCGTTTAATTTGCTCAAGCTCAGCCTCTTCTAACATACGATCGATTTCGAAATTCATGGTTTTGTTAACTGTTCGAAAAGCAATAGGTAGTTATTCTTGTGTTCAGATTCAAAGTGTGATTTTTTTAATCGTGAAAAATTCAAATTCATAAATGTTACCAAGCATTTTCAAAAAATCGCGTGCATTTCTGTTTAGGTCGTCTCTTGCCACGATGTCTGCACCTTTTTGGAGGATGAACTCGAGGAACCCTGGGTAATCTAAATACACGAAATGTGTTATCACTTTAATCAATTTTCTTTTGGTTTTGGTAAGCTTACCACACATATAAATCAAATGTAACGGTGTTTCCTTGAAGAAATTTCTAGCGTTCACGTTGGCTCCATTGTCTATGAGAAGCCGTGCAATATCCGTATTCGCTGCTAGAAAAATCAAACTAATCTGAAAATTTGCTAATTTATTTACAAAATCAAATATTCACCATGTTTGATGGCGTCATGAAGTGGGCGATTTTCCGTTTAATCGCCACGATTCACATTCGCAACATTCTGAATTAGAGCTTTGGCCACCTTCAGACTACCTGCAATATGTACATTATCTGCGTTAGAAATCTAATTAGTTCTCATTGAAAACCAAATTACTTTTGTATGCAGTTCTGTGCAACGGAGTGTCGAGCTTTGTATTATAATAGAGAAAAAATGAATAAACTAAACCTATTGCGGCAGAACCAATCACAGAAATAGTTAACACCAAAGTTATCTTCATTTTTCTGTCTTTATTATTGCACAATTATTTTACGTCCAAATTTTTCTGATTCAATTAGAAAATTTAACTGAAACTCATGAATTCATGACCAAAAATCACTTATTAAAAAGGATTTCAAAAACATTTATCGGATAACTCTTATCCGATAGCAAAAAGATTAGAACCTTGACTTGTGTCACTATGTGATTTATTGGCATTTTCGTTACTTGTAGGGTACAAGCTGTAGTCTTGAATAGATAATGCGAAAAAAGATGACACAAATGGAAACATCCTTATCCAAAAATAGGGGCATTCAAACGACCATAAAATATATGTTTTTCATCAAGTTTATCTAGCTCTTTCCAAGTTTATGCATAGTGTCGAACTTTTGTTGCTCTACCATCTAAATGTACAGTAAAATAATTTACGAACATGACGTAAGATGGCGTTTTTCTGGTCAAAAAAGTTGCAATATCCCTTTGTATCCAAAGTTGTATAATATCTAAATTATGTACAAAATCAATTGAAAAATCTTTTTTAGTATAGAAGTTTAAGCCCTATACCTTTTTGTGCAACAGTGTCCCGAGTAGCAAATTTCCCCTTTTTCTCGGTTGCAAATGGGTTACTATAACTTAAATACAACTCCAAAGATGTTGCAAGCCGATCTTTGTAACGTTACAATAACCGTATTGTAAGCTGTTTAGCCGCGAGGCGGGGCTTATTTGTAACAAATTGGTTATAATTCGGTTATATTTCGATTTTAGTTATGTTATTATATCGTTGCAATAGCCATGCTCATAAATCGCATACTGTCATATAACCAAAATATAACTTTTTTTATAACCAAAGAAAGTTTCAATAAAGTTACTATCGAGTTTCAATTTGAATGTTCATTCTTCAATTCATTCCTTTCAACGGCATCATCATTTATCTCTATCTTTGCCAAATTCAACTTGAAAAATATTTAATCGCTGGGCAATTACATATATATGTGTGAGAATGAAAATATTTTGCCGATTTTGAACATTTTCAAAATCGAAATTTTACAACGAATGTCATTTTGTCGTCAATAGTGGCCACGATAGGCTCTTAAAATTCACGCGCCCTTCAAAAAATGCAAATTTGAGAAAAAATGTGCAAAATATTTTTTTTTCAATTTTTTTAATTTTTTCGTTTAACTTTCTCAAACCATTTCAAATACGATTTATAATGTCAAAATTATAATAATAAGCTAAAACGCAATGTTAAAAATGCATAAATATATGATAAATTCGATTTTATTTTCGAAAGAAGAAGCGCATCGATGCGCAAAAAATTCCAAACAGCAGTAAATATGGCGATTTTTACTGCCATTGTTACTAAAACTCAAATGTAACTCAAATAGAACCTTGGAATTGTTGTAACAATACTGCTAGATTGTAGTAATGTTGCAGGAACTTCTTAGCTTTCATCTAGACTTTTATCATATAAAAACACGTTGCAAAAACATTTCGGCAACATATTTACAACTTGTGTTATTCAAGTTGCATTTCAGTTTTTGAAATGTTGTATAAACGTAAGAGTAACAAATAAAATTCTATTTTGCGTTTCAATGTCAAACAATATTTTGGATGGCAGCATATTTTTGAACAATTCTCTACGTTTTTTCTATAATTTCCATTCTTTTTTATTTCATCCCATGACAGTTTCAATGAAATTAGTCTGTTTTTGTTTTGTTTTCCATGATTTTATTTTATTGCCACAGAATTTTGATTAGGCGATGTATTCCTTACGGAAAGAATTCCAATGACAGCCAAATTTTATTTCTTAATGCAACATACCTACATTCAATATGTTTAGTTGAAGTAACCTTACTGTAACCTCTATATAACATGAATGTAACTTAATTATAACTTGAATTACGTTATTGTAAAAAGAAAGATAGTAATGAAGTAGTTTCAACACAAGTTGATTTTTTTGTGATTTCTCTGTTTTTATTGTAATGATTCGTTTTGGATTGGATGAAATCTACCACGTTTAACGTTCTCGACGTTTTCGAAACTCATTAGCTTGGCAAATTCTTCAACAGGAATGGCATTCTTGGACCAAATGTATGAATGTTTGACAAGGTGAAATGCACTGACGTATCATGGTTACGTATGTAACCAAATCGTAGTTGCAGCAACGTTACAATAAAGTTTTGAGATTATGAGTTATCTGGCAACTAGTTGGTAAATTTGTTAAAATATTTCTCCTTTTCTGCAACTTAAAAATAACTTTTCTATAACTTATATATAACAAAGCGGATTTCTTGTTACCTAAAAAGACACATTGCAACTGTTCTATAACATATTTTGTTGCGAATAACTGAATTGAAACCGATTTATAACAAATTTTGGTTGCAAGCCTGAGATTTTTGCTACTCAGGTGTGTCCCAAGATCCTTGTCTGGTCTCCTATTTACATCTGCGCTACGTTTAATTAACATTCTTGCCTTATCCGCCATCGTAAAATTCGTCTACTGAAGAGTCTCCATCGGAATAATCAAATTGACTTTCAAACGAACTTTCATCAGAGTCGTCAAATGTCATTTCATTGTCGGAATCTGTGGAAATTGAAATATGCCTTCAAAAATAATTTTTTTTATTCTCTTTACTTGAATTCGAAAAGAAAAATCATTATTTTTGTATGTTTCATTACCCATTTGTGCCCCAGCAATTATGAAGAGAACAGCGATCACCACAAAAACAATCTTCATCTTGTGTCTTTAAAATGTGAAAACAGTGATATTTGTTAAAACAAACTAGGTTTGTGCAAGTTTGCAAAAGCGGAAATATTTCAGGGTGAAAGAATAGGAGATTGTTCGAGTTTATATGCTTATCTTAGAATTGTGAAATGTTTATACTATAGGCAAAACAAGCAATACATTGAATATTCTGCGTTTTATACATGTCACCTAATCAATCATCGTCTAGTTTCTGAGATAGATTGAAAACAAGAAACTGCTAGCGCAGTCAGAAGAATAATATGGAAATAAAAAGCGATAAGAATTTATACAGTTTCAATTGTGCATTCAAAGGAACAATACATCAGCGAGCAAAATGATCGAATTCATTATCAAAATGTTTAAGCTTTTTCTTGTACTTGTTGTGTATATATATTATGCTATTCACAGCAGCAAGTGAATGATCACCATTAAAATACATTTTTTTCACTCCAATTTGGGAATTACTTTAAACGCAAGTAATATCGTAGTATAATATATCGTAGTAAATAGATCAGAAAAGAAATTATACAAGAAATACTCTGCGACATAAACAAATTATAACTCATTTATATGAATAAAACGTAAAGGATAATAAAATCAAACCTTAAACTCTCTTTTATTTGCAGAGGAAGTGCTTCTAGAGTCAGAACAGCGTGCCTGTAAGACTAATGAAGATTGCGATTATGGAAAAATCTGTGTCTTCGATTCGTGTGTGTTTCTCTGTGGAGCTCCTTTGGTATAAGAACCAATAATAATGAAAATAAAATGTAATTTTCATTTGCATGCTTGCAAAAAGTGCCACAAAATACAATTCCATTCACCCAGAAGCAATCAGAGTTTCATATTCACTCAAATTAACTATAATGACCGACAATGTATTCAAAACGGACTGGCACATATAAATAAAACTATCAATGACTATATAATCGAGGCTCATGTAAATTTGTAAAAAAATTAGACGGTGGCTTGAAATAGAATTGATTCATACCCCAAGAGAAACGGCCAATATGTTTATACTCTGTCTATCCGCCGAAAATACACTAATACTATATATATTCACGCTTATTGGACGCCGAATTGAATATATATTCTAGTGTATATTCGGCGTGAAACATATTGAATCAATGAATGCATTCATGGCCATCAGAGGGCGCCTGAATATGTTTCACGCTGAAGAATAAGCCAAAAATACACTAGAATATATATTGAATTCGGCGTCCAATAAGCGTTAATATATATTGTAGTGTATTTTAGGCGAATAGACAGCGTATAAACATATTGGCCCTTTCTCTTGAGACAAGATCCGTTGAACTAACCTCCCTTTTTAATAAAATTTCGATGGTATTTCATAGTCTCTTTCACGCTTTCTTTCACACACTTCTGCATTTGTCTTGTCTATAACGAAAGTTGTTATTGTGATGATCACAAATATCTTCCTCAAATTGATACGAATCATTTGGAAAATTCGCCGAAATCTATAATGTGATTTCATTGTAATCAATTCGATTGCTTCAATCAATGACTTTAAGCTGACTGATTGAGCCGAGAGATTCTTGGAATTATTATCATTAAAGTAATGAATTTGTGGGACGAATTTAAAGAAACTTGAATGCAATTTATTGATAATACCAATCAAATATATTTCATATCAATTTAGATCTTTTCTAGTATGAATAATTCACTCATTTCAGTGAAAATTGACGTACAAAGTGTTCAAATTATGGAAAAATCTGATAACATTCGAAAAATATTGAACACATCATCCGCTGTGGAATCAATGAATTGGAAAGTGATAAACCCTATTGAGCAAAAACTTTGAACTGTGGATTTTTTCAAATTTTTTGATGAAATTTTGGTGAGATACTTTTTAGAGCCCAAATATGATTTTCCCAAAGTTTCCGAATTTCCCGACACGTTTTAAATTTTCACAATTTTCCGGCATTTTCTGCAAAACTGCGAGTTGGAAAACCTTGAAAATCTGGGAAAACCCTTTTCAAACCTTTTCCAACACACATGCAAAACGGCATTTGAAAATTCCAAGCCGTTTGATCAGGATAGAAGAAAATGTAAAAGAAGTTATAAAAAAATCGGCAATTTTTGCGTCCTATATATAGGACGCTGGTAGAAAATGGGTTAAGAACACAATTCGCCGCCAAAAACAGACGTGATCAAATGACTCACTTATAGATTTGTAGATTTCAATTAAACTTCTGATTATGGTTAATTTTAATGGAGTGTTATTTGCACTTATCCCTTTCCGTTGTTATCTCTTATTTTTACAGTGGAAGCGCAGGGTGATCCATTTTCGTATTTCTGCCAAGAAGATACAGATTGCGATGAAGGACATAAGTGCATCGGTAATATCTGTATAAGATTTCCCCGTAACTAAACAAGAACCGAGTCATCAATGAAGCACTGAGACGCTCATTTCACCTGCAGTAAATTCAACTATGTCGTTAAATGAAACCCGTTTTGTGTTGAATTGGACAATTTTGTGTTTTATTTCAAATAAGAATATCAAGTAAGAATATACCAAGTGTTGTATTCTGTTGTATGTTTCGAAATGCATTCCTTTAACGCTTTTATTTAAACAAAATCATTGAACCCACTCCAGCCGCTTTATCTATTAACTTTGATTCCACTATATAAATTTGATAAGAGAAAATCCTTCGTTTTCTATTCGATTTGCTCAATCAAAACCACGTTGCGACTCTTTCTCCATACTGTCGATGGTGTTGTTGTTGTTGCTGGTTCAGTGTGTAATAAAACAGTTGTTGTTTAAACAATGATTGCGATTGAAATTCGATTCTTAAGCGATATCGTTCCGAACGATTCGTTCGTTCGATTGGCTGGTAGCGATGACTATATTCAAAATTCATTGTTATCCACACAGCCTTATGAATATTCGATGACTAGAAAATTGTAACAAGCAAAAGCAAATGAAAGACAACCACTGAAGTCAAGCGAGCGCACCAAGTAAATACCCATTCAATACAAAATAATATCTTAGTTTGTCTGTTCGTTGACAGTGCACGATAGGCATACGGTGGACAACAGAAGTGTATTGTCGTTGGGTCAGAATGTTCTGATTTTAAACTCGGGTGGGAAAAACGGAGTGATAAATCGGAATTGTTGTTAATTTTGGCATTGACTCAATTTAAAACAAAATTGTGACATCGAGAATTTATTAGGTGCACATTATGTATACCTAAACGAACGTGAACACTGGACACAAAACAGGATATATACTATAGTGTAACTCGAGCGCGCTAGTATCCAGTGTGGAAGTTTAACCTTGGCCTGCTTTTGAACTTTACTTTTTTGCATTGAAATTTTTTTTTTCCGTACATGGAACATTATGCGTGCCACACAGAATTTTACTCACTAGCCTGTGTACCGATGAAGTAATCGTTAGTTTCGTGCAGACCATTCATTGATTACGTTGTGTCTTGGATTGGCTTTCGTTGGACGGAGTTGAAAAGTAGTTGAGATTTTTTAACGTTTTAAGTGCTGTCTGACTTGGAATATTCCACAAGTGATTGTGAACGTGGAAAAATGGGAGTAATGAAAAAATTGAAAAAGCCTATCACTGGCGCTATTTTATTAGTTCTGGTGTTCAATGTGGGTTTTAGTGAATCACTTGATCAATGTAAGTTTATATATGAAAAAAAATTCTTGTTCTGTGTTTTAATACTCAAAAAAAACAATCAAAGTTCTAGCATAAGAAGTGATTAGAAGTTATTAAAAGTTTATTTGAAGAGAATTTGAAAAAAATATGAAGTTTTGAAAATAAAAAAAGGAATAATGAAAAAAATATCTGAAAAAGCTTTAAATGAAAAGAAACAACGAATTTACACCTAGTTCAAATCCAAAAGTTGAATAGAACCTAAAAAAATGAATCATGCATAGCATGGTTTTCCCTATACTCAATATACGACATATATTATGGGTTAAAGTTGAAATTTGACCGGAAAGAGCGTGTTTTATTTTTTTTAAATCGTCTAGAACACGCGTTCAACATGTATGGTTCTAGTTAAAAATAAAATAATAATAAACCTAACCTTCTAAATTTCCAATATCAAGTTCACACTTGTTTTTTCTTGAATAATTCCCTTGATTTACCCACTAATTTATATTCTCAAAAGCGAAATTCGATGAAGACCTATTGAAATGTTGTACAACTGGTGAGCAGCACGCGGAAAAAGAAAGCAATTGTAAAGCCTACGAAATGCCATCTGTTCAAGCTGAATTGATGTCATCGTGTTTTTTCTCGGCCGAAATTTGTTGCAATTCAAAGCTTCGAATTGAACAGTGTAAAATCGGCGTTCAGGCAGCGAAAGAAGGTAAAGATTGTCATAATCCTGGAAATCAAACTGGCATCGAATTCTACAAGAACTGTTGTGAGGCATGCAAGGTCGGTTTGGTGTTGGGCACAATGCAAGAAGAATGTTCGATAGGCATTTTGTTTGGTACTCCATTCGACGATTCATACAATTATTGCTGCAATGAAATGAAATCCACGGACAGTTTTGTGATTAACGAAGATGAAAGTGAGTGATTTATCTAAAACAGATCAATTGGGAAAATGTGCCTTTTCACATAATATCTACGTTGTTTTAACAGATATTTGCACCAAACTTGAGAATTTGTGCTCACAGATTTGTGAACCAACCGACGAGTCGTATGTATGTAAATGCAAAGAAGGCTACAAATTGGGAGATGATAAGAGAACTTGCGTTAAGGAGGACGATGACTCATCGGCAGAGAAATTGAACGAAGTCACTAACAATCCCACTGAGTATGACGACATTTGAACTGATTCAAATTAGGTACCGATATGCAACCGTGTAACATAAATGTATTTTCAGGGATTGTTCAACGGGCTATACGAAAAATGAACAAACGGGCACATGCGACGATATAAACGAATGTGAAGGACCTGACGTCACTTGTAATTTGGAATCACAAGTCTGTTACAACGTACCGGGAACCTATAAATGTTTGGATGTAATGCAAGTGTCGCAATGCCCCAATGGTTTTAAATTTGATCCGAAAATCAAACAGTGCATTGGTAACATTACGCGACTTTTTAATGCTTTTTCATTTCAAATATAAAACCAAACTTCTTTTTGTTAGATATAAATGAGTGCGAATTAGGTATTGGAAAATGTCCTGCGAATCGTCAGTGTGTTAACATTCCGGGTGGATATGATTGTGCTGAATCAAAAAAGACCACAACTCAGTACGTTGATAAATATAAATAGATTTACTATCAGTTTTTGAGTTGAACTGATTAAACAATCGAAAATTATTTATCTCTCTATGGAAATATTTCCTAATTTCAGAACCGACTCCGTGCCATTTTCACCGCAGAAACGAAATTTGACCTGCTCGAAGGGATATAAACAACATTTTGATAAGTGTGTCGGTAAGGAATCGGTATCTCTACCTCGAAATTGTTGATATTCTAAGTAAATAGGTTTTACGATAAAAATAAATGTTTCTTACACAAAACCCAGACATTGACGAATGTGCCGTGGACAAAACGGCATGTGATAGCAATCAGAACTGCATAAATAACTTAGGATCATTCCGATGTGAATGCAAAACCGGCTTCACCATGGATAAAGTAGTGAATGCATGCGTTGGTGAGTAAATGTTGTTATCAAATGTAAATAAAGTGGGAAAAATGACAGAAACAATATTTGTTTGTTAGATATAAACGAGTGTCAAATCAACAACCATGACTGTTTGGATACGCAAAGGTGTGACAATACGATTGGTTCGTACACATGCATTCGACTACAGAGCTGTGGAACGGGCTATACATTGAATGCTGAAACTAGCAACTGTGATGGTATGTCATAGTTTGAATAAAATTAGAATGGATTCGATTCGTCAGCAATTCAGAGGCTATTTGAAATAGTGCACTTTTATTGCATACATTAACTCGGTTCAGTGAATTCAAATGATTCACATTACAATAACAACAGAGCTTCATTGAACCAAGTCATTTGAATATAAAAACAGCACCATGAGCCACACGCCTGTGAATTCAAGCAATGACGCACAGAGAAATAAATTTCGATTCAATGGGTTGTAGTCAGTATACTGACATTAGTCGCGTTTTTAAACGCTAAAATCTGAATCTTTACTAAAAAAACGAATATTTGATTCAATATTAAACTTTGGGGTTGATTCAACGGTTTTTATAAACTAAAATTTAAAAAAAAAATGACTATTTCAATTCATTTTCCTCAAATGTATACATAAAGATGATGACGAATGTGCGTTGGGCCGCCACAATTGCATAAGACCATACGAATGCCGTAATACAAAAGGATCATTCCGTTGTGAAAAGCCGCGTTACACAACGACTTCAACGACAACCACTTCCACGACATCCACGACAACAACCAAACGTCCGTACGTTCATACTCAGTACTATCCACCGTATACACAATCGTATAGCAGTCGATTGAACGTTTGGCCACATACAACAACACCAGTGCCGCGACACATTGACTATGATCAACGGTACGGTCCATGCAACGAAGGATTCCAACGAAGCAATCAAGGCGCTTGTATAGGTAAACTGATTTTATGTGATCATTTTTCTAAAACATTTGGTTTGTTCATTTTCGATTGAAAAAATGTACGAAATGATCGAAAATACAGATTTGCTTTAAATAATAATGTTTTCAACCATTAAATATTCAATATCGGCAGATATCGATGAGTGTGTTCAATCTAATCCTTGCCGACGTAATCAAAGATGCATCAATACGAACGGATCTTATAAGTGCCAAAGTTTACTCCAGTGCTCAGGAGGGTACACATCAAATGACGAAGGAACTCAATGCATTGGTACACACATTAATCTAAGCACCCGTATCAGATACATACCTTAAACATATCGATTTAGTGGTGAAGATGCTTCGATATTCTAGCTTGTTTTCTATCAATAACATCTCTTTGCTAATGATGGGTGGCGGTTTTTCTCTGTTCCATTGTGATAATATGAATAGTCGCAAAAATATGTTGCTTTTAGATCAGACAGTGCACATCGCACATTCATTTAAAGGTAAAACTAAAACAGTGATCAATTCAATCTGAATCTCATCTCGAATCCGGTTCAATAAGTTCTATTTTACTAGCTTACTATTGGATTTGGGGTAACTAATCAAGTAATGTATTAACGACCTTTAGATTTTCTTCTTCGTCTAATTTTTTTTTAATCATTTTCATAAAAGGTTGGATTTGAATTCTTCTTTTTTTTTACTAAAAATGTTTATCAATAATTGCATGCCTTTTATTTTCAAGTTTTTATGTGATTTATTTTTCATTTCATTTAGCATTTTTCATTGAAACTCATTCCATTCGTTCTGAATCTAGATATCGATGAATGCCAGCAAGGGACAGCAAATTGTGGCCCAGATGAAATCTGCAAGAATAAACCGGGTGGTTATACATGCTCTTGTCCCGCTGGCCATGCTTTGAATGCACAAAGACGTTGTGACGATATAGATGAATGTGATTTCTACAAGGGACAGGTTATTAAGAGACAAACTGCCATATTTTTTTGTTTATTCTACTTGGTTCTATATTGAAATCTCTAATCTAATTTCAATAAAATCCATTTCTAGGTATGTTCCAGCAATTCGAATTGTATAAACACAATCGGTTCGTATCGATGTGACTGTAAAGATGGGTTCAAAAAACAAGACGGAAATGAAGATGATAAAATCTGTGTTGATGTCAATGAATGCCTTGAAATTCCTGGTCTATGCCAACAAAAGTGTATCAATTACTGGGGATCATATCGCTGTGCTTGTGAAACTGGATTCCGTTTAGGTGAAAATAATCGAACATGTGAAGGTAAGGCTCATCTGACAGAGTATTATGTCTCATTTAGCCTATTGAATTTCGAACAAATATTAACCATAATTTCCCTTGAATCTCAGACATTAACGAGTGTGAAGTGCACAAATCATACAATTTGTGCTTAGGAGTATGTGAAAATACCCGTGGCTCATATCGTTGCACTTGTCCATCAGGCTATACACTTGGTTCCGATAACAGATCGTGTCAGGTAAAAAACAATGGCGCCAAGAGCCAATTTCAATACTATATAGTCGCTAATTTGAATGTGTTTTGTTCATATCTTCTGATTAAAGGATATTGATGAATGTGCCACAGAAAATGTGTGCACCGGCCCGAATGCAATCTGCACAAATATACGAGGAAGCTACCGGTGTACATACAAAAACTGTCCACCTGATTACATGAATGATCCCACGCATAAAAAGTAAGCCATTCTCCAATTCTATTTTCAAGCATTTCAAAATTGAATTTTGAAATTATTCTATAAACGAAATTAGAGTATGTTAATCATAATTTAATTTAAATATGTAATTGGTAAATTTCAGCCGCTGCAAACGAATTTCATTAACATGCGATCACGGAGATATGGAATGCTACCGAAGACCAGCTTCGATTACATTCCATTTTATAACATTGGTTTCTCAAATGTCTTTGCCGCCAACTGGCAGAGTTCTTTTCACATACAAAGGACCGAGCTGGTATGAGAACATCGATTTCGACATGAAAATCGTAAATACACAAGCACGTGGCAATGTTCGACGTGTAAGCGACCAATTCTTCAGGTTTGTTATTAGTATTTCATCTTTTTTTAAGTGATTTTCAATCATTTTATATCGTCTCGAGTCGATTTTGTGTTCTTTCACTACGATTTCGAACCATATAGTGGCTCGAAGCATATATAAATAGTTCATTTATTGACATTTAAAGGCACTATTTCTAAGGCACATGATTGCAATTGTGTACGATTCTGAATCGGTCAACGATCTTTCTTTTTTATATGGAAATAATCGTGCACGATCGTATATTTGCTATTTCCAAGGAAACGATCGGTGGACAATTACAGAAGAATCATACACGATTACAATTGTGTGCCTTGGAAATAGTGTCTTGGCGATTCTTTAGTAAAAAAGAATGGAGATAATATCGACAATCGGTTTTCAATTTCAGCATGGACAAATTCCAAAATGAAGCACGCTTGAGTTTGATGGAAAGTTTGGAGGGGCCACAAGATATTGAAATTGAAATGAGCATGACCGTTTTCAGAGATGGCCAACCAAGTGGAACAAATGTCGCCAAAATATTCATATTCGTCTCGGAATATCAATATTAGAGCTTAAAAATCGTTTTTGTTTTTAGAAAATAGAATAGTCGACTTTAAAATCAATAGATTCCCATTTAAATCACACAATTCTACTGTAAGCATATCAAATATCAAGTAAGCAAATGAAATATCGACTCGATTTTATCAACAAAATACATAAAACAAATACAAAAATCAAAAAGATTCTTTAAAAAATTGAATAAAAATGAAAATTCGTGTTGAATTTAGAGTTTTAATCAATATTCTTCATGCTGAAGAATGTGCTACAGGAAAATCACAAATAAGCTTGCACTCTGTGTAATCAAATGTTGAAACTAATACTTCAGAAATGTTGTAAACATTTTCAAACATGATCTTTGCCTTGTATTCTTATAGAAACCTACGTTTTTTATTTGAATCAATCATTTAATGCCAACAAGTCAACCTCTTAATAGAAGCTGTGAGGAAAATTATGTAAAAATTAAGTCAATTTCCTAGATTTGGAAGTATGCGATTTGTATATCGTCAAAAACATTAGAGCTTTTGTTTATTCAGTAGAGTTTTGGATCAGATAGACCTTGTTTCCATTCCAATTATCGATCGATTTGTAAACGTAGAAGGTTAGCATAAATTCAATGTGATGTGTTCTAGGTCGTGAAAGTGCTTTGAATTCTCGAAGCGATTCGACTGTAAAAGTTAATGTACTGTAAGTAAAACATGAAAATGTACGAAAACAAAATTCGTATTAAAGAACAACTAAACTGAGTCTACTGCGAACAATTCTCTCTTTTACGCTAACAGCAATTCGTATACGAACAAGTCAGTGTGACAGTTGGCGTGAGCGAGACAAAGTTTGGCAGCAAACAATTTGGTTATGTCGGTTTAAATGTTCTTTCTATTTTTAATTTTTATTTCTTCATTTTCAAGAAAGTGTAACAATTCAGAGAAATTGCAGTCTGCATCTTTACGTATCGAAGTGCTTAAACTAATATGAAAACAATTTTTTTTCCATTTGTTTTTGTTTATTCAAACCAAGTGTCAATATTCAGTTGACATCTTAAACTTTTTAGAAATGAATTTTCCATAACATCAAGCCATTTACGATTTGCTTCTAGTAGTTCGTTTGGTACATTGATTGTGCCGTTTTCAATGACGATTGTCACTTTAACACGATTCTGCTTAGCTAAACTCAATACCGATTTAAAATCATCCGAGTCTATTGTCATGTCTTTCGTATCGACTGAAAGAGCCGATAAGTGTTCACCATATTTCAGGGCTTTCTTAATACCTGCTAAGGATATTTTCGGGCTAATACTCCTAATATTGTCCTGTTTCACACAGATCATTTCTTCCAAAGCCGGTAAATGTTTAACATATTCCAAGAGTGTTTCATCTGACATTTGCGTAATACACAGTTTTTTCAGTTGTTTCAACTCCAAAATATTCAATTTGGATGTGGAAAATTGCGTATAATCATTCAAAATTCCTAAAAATTCTATAAGCACTTTGTTTTCAATAAGACATTCGATTAGTCTCCCTACTGGAATGATAACACGCGCGGTAATAGCCAAAGATCTTAGGTTCTGCAATTTGCCTATGTGCAGCATGTGTTCATTTAAACTGGGTGATGAACTATGCAAGTGTACGAACAGCTTTTCCAGATTTGGTGTCAGATTGGCGATGTTTTCGTAAATTTGCGGTGTTATTTGTTTACACAATCGAATGTAGAGGCTCTTCAGTTGTGGATTTAATTTTAAGAATTCAACGGCCTGATCAAATCGCAATTCGTGGACGACATACAATGTAACAATTTCCAATTGCGGGAATGGTTGAATGAGCCATTCCCAATCACTGACTCTTCCCCATATCACCAATCTCCTCAGTTGTGACGTACACTCAAAATTGCGAATGTTTGTATCAAGTATTTCTAGTTCGGCTAACGCTTGAAATGGTGATCGGGTGTTGAAATTGACCACATTGGATGAACAAATTTTGAATGTCCTCAGTGTTTTTCCACAATGATCGGCGATCATATTTTGAATATCGTTATGGAGTTCTTCTCCATCGAAATAAATGTTCACAATCAAATGGCCGAAGATGTTGAGCAAACTTGGCAATCGATTCACTGTTACGGTATTAGTGTTATCGCTTTTGTTGTATAATTCACCAACTCGAATCTTTCTGTACTTTGTCCGGAATGTGAGCTTCGCATTTTCCTGGAATCCACGGCATGTTTCTGCTGCACTCAAAAAGTCTCGCACGCAATCCATTTGACGAAAAATTGACTGAATGCAATCATCATTCAAAGCGTTCAGAATGTGCTTTGGCGAATCTTGTGCCGGTGGCATTTCAACATGATCATCCATGAAGATTCGTGGTACAATTCAGTTAGGCACGAGCTGAAATAAGGATTTTTTTTTATTTAACACGTTACGGATTGACTTATAATATTAAGAGGAAAAAATTTAATTTAAAACTAAAAATAAATCTAACTACGAAAAAACCGGACAACTTTTCGCTATAAAACTTTAGTCGAAATACTGTTTTTCCTATCTTTCTGTCTCGAAGTAGTTCAACAAACGCAGCAATTCGTATGATAACTATTGAAAATGTTACTTTATTAAAATTCGCTTTTCACTCTCAGACTGAGGAGCAAAGGCAACTTGATAGAGTTTCAATTCCAAAACGAGACTGATTCATTGCGAATGTTAGAAAAACAGTATGAAGAGTTAGCCTATTTCAGATTTTCAATATTCCACCAACTAATAATATTTTTTGGAACTAATAGAAGTTAATTGCAATATCTCTTTAGTGGGTAAGTAATCAACTTCAGAAATGTTGTAACCATTTCCAAACATGTTCTTTGCCTTGATGTATTCTTGTAGATACTTACGTTTTTTCGTTTTTTTTATTTGGATTAATCGTTCGATATCAACAAGGGAACCTCTCCATAGAAGATGCGACGGGATTTATGTTACAATTCAGTAAATTTAATCAAATTAAAGAAATTGAGAAATAACACGATGATATCAAGCTTGGATTAATATATATGGAAAATCGTGTAAAACCAAAAAAAAAAAAACTAACGTGTAATTTGAAATGCCACTAAGTTGACAGATACGTTTGACAGGTTCGTACATCGGGTAATAGTATTGGCCACTTCATTGTTTTTTATTTCAAATTACACGTTATTTTATCGTTTTCCGCGATTTTATATATGAATCCAAGTTTCATTGTTTGTGTGTTGTCTCCAAATGATAGAATCTAATTAGTATATCATCAGAAATGTTAGATCTTCTAATAACTGACGGGTTTTGAGTCATAAAACCTTGTTTCCATTCCAACTACATACATATTGATTATCGACATACGATAATAATTCACCAATTCGGATCTTTCTGAATTGTGCATGGAAAATGAGCTTTGCATTTTCCTGGAATCGAATGCACGTTTCTGCTGCGCTCAAAAAGTTGCGCGCGCTGTCCAATCAACGAAAAACTGACTGAATAAAATCATCATTCAAAGCATCCAGAATGTGTTGTGGCAAATCTTGTGCCGGTGGCATTTCAACATCCATGACGATTCGTGGTACAATTCAGTCTTTACGTGAGCTGAAATAACAACGAAATATTTATTCAATATATAAATAAACTGTACATTTTTTAATTGAAAATATATAAATTAAACTCAAAACAAAACCAGAATAATTTTCTTGTGCTATAGGATTGCTTTACTCCTTAACTTTTTGTCTTGAGGTAGTCAAACAAACGTGGCGATTCGTGTTAAAACTACTGAATATGTTACTTCGTTAAAATTCTCTTTTTCACTCTCTGACTGAGGAGCAAAGGTAACTTGATGATATTTCAAATACACAAAGAGACTGTATCATTCTAAACTTAAGCCGAATGAAGAATTGGCTCAAATTGTTCGATATATATATGGTTTCGGGCAAGGCAAGGCAAGGCAAGATATAACCCAAATTGTTGTAGTTCCAGAAAAACTGAGTAGATACCACAGATCACTCTTAATCTCCATTAATTCATATCCTTTTACGTATTCACCTTCTGTAGGGGCTTAAAAGCATTCGCAATATAATATTCCATTGGAACAAATACTTTTCAACATTTAAACATCCAATTCATGTTTGCATGTTCTTTTCGTTACTCGAAATAATCTCAATTAATTGTGATGGATCGATCAATGCTTCTGAATATCAAAAATTCGTTGTTTATTCGTCTTTTTCAGGAAGAAATTAATTGATCATGCAACATATATATCCTTTTGACAAAAACAAAATTATTCATAATCATTTTAGAACATCAATAAGTACTGAATCTGAAAAAAATCGTTTATATTTGTTTTAGAAAATGGAATAGTCGATATGAGACCAATAAATTTAAATCACTCAAATATACTGTAAGTATATCAAATTTCAAGTAAGCAAATGGAATCGATCAACAAAATACACGTAAATTTTGTGGCTTCATTTTGAGAATAAAATGATTGAAAAAGACTTCGATTTCTTTCAAAGGTATTGTGAATCGTTTTAAATTTAAAGTACGAATGAAATTTATCGAGAAGTGGTTTGGGTTCATTTTTGTAACATTCATGTGTGAGCTTGTTGACACAATCTGAGAAAAAAAAATCCGATAAATCATTAATACCACGAATTATTTTGTTTTTAACAAAGAAAAACATAAAAATCACTATTTGTACTTTTGAATCCGATATGCAAATCAAGTCCAATTAAGTACAAACAAATCAGCTCTCTGGTGGTCATCAATGACACTAATTTTACCGTTCAATTCGTTGCTTATTCAAGTTGGTGGGCGCTTGTCCAGTGTGCGCAAACACAATCACCTAACTCAATCAGTGCAGTTCGCATGCAAATCATATACCATCAGTTTTGGCGCGATATCCTATACACTTTGCACTTTGGTATTGACAGTCAGACGTTGAAAAATGTCCATGACGTTTAAAGAAAAAGTAGAACAGGTAATGAAAAATTATTTTTTGTTCATAAATCATCAATTTGTTTGATAATATTCTAATGAAAAACAAAATTGCCCACCAAAAACTGACAGAAGAACAACTTGATTATGCAATGACAAAACTAGGCAAAGGCCTACAGGAAAAACTAAGAAAAATCCGCTACGAACAAACAAAACGCTACCAATAAACAAAAACAACAATCGCTGTTGCAATGCCGGTGGTCACTGCACAAAAATCGTTTACTGGATCCGACACCATTGTGAACTCATTGTTTGCTTCGCTCAACGAGCATTTCTTCAACAACGCATTGAATGGCATCACTTTGAAATGGTTGACCGAGCTCAAGACGCGTACGGCTGTTGGTGTGATTGCTAAGAAAGTCTTCAATACAAAAACAATGATTTGCATGAGCAAACCTCTGCTGGCAAAATGTACACGCAAACAATTGGTGGAATCACTTTTGGTAAGATTTTTTTTAATCAATTTTCCAAATGTCTTGTGTTGCAAACGTTGTGTTGGTTCAATTTGGAATAGCAATGAATTAACTGGGACATTTGGTGTTTTTTCTCACAGTATGAAATGGTTGTGTTGTACATCGACTCGAAGTTGTCCGAAGTCAAAAATAATGACGACAGTGACGATGAACAGTCGAAACATTTTCAAGTGATGCTCAAGCGTGCAATGGACTCCATAAATCGATTATCGGGAACAAACTTGTCGTTCAATTATACACATCGAGCCCATTTGACCACAGACTCATTCGATGAATGGATTGATGTCGATGACGAAATCAATGTGCACAAATTCAATGATACCGTGGTTTGCATCTCTGATGATGACGAAGACGAAGACGACAATGAAGAAGTAGATAATTTTCAAGAAATTCGCAAAACTGGCTACGTATCGATTAAACCAATCACCGATAAGATTATTGTTCATAATATACCCGAACATGATCTGTCCTGCTTAAACAACTGGATGTTCGTTTGTTGCTGTTGCACCGATTACGGCGCTATGTTCGAGAAAACGTTCGCCGGTTCAAACATCCGTTTTGTTTCAGAAACCTACATACTTCCACAACAATGTCCAATTTGCTCGCAAACAATCGAAAAAGACAAGTTAAATGAGCATTTGGTTCGTTCATGCAATATTTTCTGTGCTCAGACGAAGCTGGACTGATGGTGATTTTAATGTATTTTCTATTTGTTTGTTTTATTTAATATTGTTTTTATATTGATTTTGTAAGAGAGAAATTGTTTAATTTTAAATCGAATATGTTCATCGGCTTAGAAGCCAAATCACTGCGGCCTAGAGGCCAAATCATCGGCTTAGAAGCCAATCCAAGATTAAAAACATAAAGATCAATTGTATCCAATGTGAATGATAGTATTCAGATTCCAAGTGAATTGAAACAGAGAATTGAAATGAGAATCGAATTGACAAATGCATAAAAAAAAATAGCAACCAGATTTTGTAATAACCTAGATAAGATGTGATTGAAATTAAAGAAAATTGTCTGTCGTTCCTGAAAAGCGTGAAATTAATTTTTATCATATGGCAAAGTAAGACCAGGCCACCAGCATTATAATTTTATCATGGGCTTTCTTAGAAAATCCTCTCCTAATAAAAATTTGGCGGTTAATCATCATCGTTTTTCTGTTTAAATTCAAAGCAATTCAGCACATTTTGACAGCACTGCGTGGTAACATAACCTCAAAACTGAGTTTGTTTTGAAAACACACATGCACGGTCGATGTGTTGATTCGGTATAAAGATTTAGCGGTGAAAAATGGGCGAAACAGGTAAAAAGAGTGAACTGATATGTGTTCCAGGACAGCGGTTGTGTTTATCAGATGAAAACACCGTTTCTGGCGAGGGTACATACGAGAGACAGGGTTACATTTACTCACTATTGGCTGGTATTGTGAACAGTTCACAGAAAGACAAAGTAAGTGGCCCACATTTTTTTTTTGCAAAAAAATGTGGCATTTTTCTCATGTTTTCGATTTTCCAGTCAAAAATCATCGAAGTGAAAACGCTCGGCAATCAAACAATCGTTCCAGTGGCTGGTGATATTGTGACGGCTCGAGTGACAGTGATAAATCAACGTTTTGCCAAATGTGCAATCATTTGCATTGGTGATGTGATTCTAAAACGAGTCTACCGGGCCCTACTGCGAAAAGAGGACGTTCGAGCTGAACGAAAGGATGAAGTGGATATGTACAAATCATTTCGACCCGGAGACATCATTTTAGCTAGAATTGTAAGTGGTCTCCAAACACAATGGCATATTCCGTGTTGAAATTCATACGAAAATTGTTTCTTTTTGTTTAGCTGCCACAAAACGAATTACATTGCTATCAATTGAGCACAGCCGAATATGAATTGGGTGTCGTCGTAGCACACGCAGCCGAATCTGGTCCACAAGGTAAAATTGAATGTTCATAAATTAGTGAATGCCAAGTATTAGAATGCATCTCGTTTTTTTAGGCGTTCCAATGGTGCCCGTGAGTTGGACAGAGATGCAGTGCCCAGAAACACTGGCCAAAGAACCACGGAAAGTGGCAAAAATCGTTCCAGAAAGTGCTGTACAAGAGGCGACCAACAACAAAACTTAATGTTTTTTTTCATGCATAAAATCAATTTTATTTACGTTTTTATTACATTTTATAAAGGAAAATAAAACAAAATATGTATTAAGAGCTAATTTTGTTGGTCACATTTTTCAATAATTCGTCCAACTCAGCGGGAGTATATTTCTTTTTTCGTTCTTTCTTGATACTTGGCACATTGTCGATATTTTGCGTTGATTTATTCTGGAAATTGATTGAAAAAGAAAAAAAAATTAAATGAAAAGCAATGAAATAGCGAACCAATGGACAAATAGTCGTGAATTGGGTCAATCGTATTGACTTTGCGTTAGTTTATAGTGTTGAAATCACGATTGTTCAATTAAAAAATGAATAAATAAAAATCGTATGAAAACCTGTTCAAAATGCCTTACCAAAAAGTGTGAATACTCCGGCGAAAGCGTTTCCAAGTACAAAATTCTCTGTTCTATTGCTTTCAATCGTGCGAATACTGTTTTGGTAGACACATTCTCAGCGGACATATTAAGATAACCCTCAACGTTTGAAATACGTTCTTCAATGCCGCTGGATAATGGTTTTACCGGCGCATCTGGGTCAGGTTTGATTTTAATTGGTGAATTATTTTCCATGAGTTTATCCAAGGCAATTTTATAGTTCGTTGTCTGTGGACCGGTTTCATTTTTCACACGATGTACCTTTAAATGACCTTTTGAGCCTTTAATTCGATATACCGTGCTATTAACACGGGCACATCTCATTTCATCCTCTTGAGTGTCTTTAATAAAGTCATGCACATTACTGTTGTTAATCTCCTCTCGTTTACGTCCAATGAACGATGCGATGCGACGCTTTATTTCCAACTCATCTGCTCGGATTTGGAGTAGGCTCTTTGACACAATGACATCGTTGCTAATGGGACAGCAAGCGTCGAAATTCACATGGGATTTAGTTCGTTTGGGGCGCTTTTGAGGCGGCTGAGGCGCAGGCGCTGTGGAAAAAAAAAATAAACACCAATTCAAAACGGAAGTTTATCGAGTGAAAAGATGGGGCGAGGTTAATATTTGGCACAATAATATTGTATTTAGAAGAAAATTAGTGAATTACAAAATGGAAAATAGATCTACTGATATGCAATTGACTACTATGGTTCTAGTATTTGGCTGAAATTGCTTTGATTTCTTTTTGGTTTTGGTTAGACGGTTTCAGGCTGTGACCATCCGCATTCTTTGTTCTCTTTCCACATTTCGGTACCTTCGTAATCGCCACCGTAGATTTCCTTTTTCCAAATCGGCACCGTACGTTTCAATTCATCGATAGCAAATTGGACGGCTTCCAAACTGTCTTGACGATGCGGTGAACTGATCGCAATCACCACGCTGCTCTCTTTTATCGGCACCAAACCAAGACGATGATACAATGCAATGTGCAGCACATCAGTCCACTTTTCACGAATATCATCACAAATTTTGTTCATCATCTTGTCTGCCATTTTGTCATAAGCCTCATATTTCAATGATAAAACCTATGAAAACCAGAAATATTGATGAAATTGACTTATTCCAAACGAGAAAATTAGAATACTTACTGGTTTATCATCAAAGTTATCCCTTGTTGTTCCGACAAAAATCGAAACAGCGCCACACCTTTCGTCGGTAACCAACTCCGAAATTGAATTAATGTCGAGTTTCTCCTTTGTCAACTTGACGAAATTCATTGTTACGTCTTTGGCGCTTCCTTTATCCGCCACTGATCGGTGGAATGATAGCGAGTTCGTCTCCCGCTTTCAAATTCAACAACTCTGTCGATTCGTCACAGTAGTCACTGTTTAAGGCAACCAAAAAAGTCTTTCGGAGTGGCTGCAAATTGTACGTTTTGCTTAAATGCTCAACTAGGTCTGCGTATGGGATTCGTTTTGGCAACTCGACGTCACATTCACTCAAGCCAGCAAGTTCACGTGATTTAGCGAAAAACAATAATTTTACACGAACAAAATTTTCCATAATTTTCTTTCTCAGACGAATGCCATTTCAGATGCGGTTACAATCTGAATATAGTGATAGGAGAAAATTAGACAATGAATGATAACAAAATATACACATACATTTGTTGATACGGTACGGTAATCAAGATAATTGAATCAACTGTCAAAATGTCAAACTTTATTTGCTTTCACCCGTACGTGATTTACAAAAACCAACACGCTGTCATCCCTATCGGAAACCACCGTTTGCTAGGAACATTGTTTCTGGCTATTTTATTTGAACAAAAAAAAATTGAACTCTCATTTGAATGGATATTTGCTTTGGGTTCCTTTTCCAAAGCTATATACAATTTTGACAAATTCAGAGGGAGAAAAATAGATTAAAGACTTTGGAATTGAATGTTATCAATAAAAACCTAGATTCGAACAAATTCGAAGCATCTATGACTTTATTACTGTTGTTCCGAAGATTGAATTGATCTTCATAGAATACGACTTGTAGTTTTTCAGACTGGAATTAATTGAAAATCTTTATAAAATGGTTAAACCATAAGTGGGAGTCAACGTCGCCCATTTCATATTCAATGCTTTTTATGACTTTTCTGTGATTTCAAATCATGTTAATAAGTATTTTGGTTATAGTTGGGTATATGAATCTTGGATAATTTTAAATGAAAAATTATTGAGCATTTACTCGGATGGGGCTTAATATCGCTTATTTCAAACAATAAAACTAAACCAAACTAATATACTCTATTTATTCCGACCAAACTGGTCATTGGAATTGAGAGATTTTTAAAAAATGACCAAATAAATAAGTACATCCATTAAGGTTTATGCTCTCTCTCAAGCAAACGACAAACACATTGTCAAATAATTGGGAACTCAAAATAAATCATCCATAATTTTACCCGAACATCTGTTCCCAAATGACAAAGCCATTTCAAATATTATTATCGCCGATCTGAGTATTGAATTCAAAAAAAGAGTAAGAAAAAAATAAAGAAAAACAAAAAGAAAGAGACTGCGCTAACCAAAATTATATGTTGAGTATCGAAGTATAAATCGTATGTGATTTAGAAAAAGTAAGACGCTGGCATCCCTATTAAAATCATAAAATGAATATCAATGCACTGTGTGTGTTTTTTATTCGAGCTGCATTTTTTCATTAATGCATTTTTTATTTAAAAATTCTTATCGTAACAATTTTTCTGCCGTATTAAAATATTCTAAATATTCAAGATTGTTCCGGGAAAAAAACCTTTATCTCTACGAACACAGGCCCGATCTGAGTGGCATTTTATGGGCAATAATTTCTTTCTATTTTTGAAATTTTTTTGTTTCTTTTAGATGGGTTGATGGAATGAGACTTAGTCTAAAGTAAAATAAAATTTATAAAATCCTGTGAGGCTCTTCCATGGGTAGGGGAAGAAAGAAATTAGCATGAAATATGAAGCTGAATGAATAAATGGTCAACCTTATTGATCTATTTCGTTGTATTTAAAATTCGTTCCAAGCGAGAATGGGATTGTTGTTTTTGTACTGTAGCTCAACAATGTGCATATACAAACGCAGGGCTGGTCCAAGTTTCAGATTGAAGCGATTCAGAACATCTTCGCGTTTGATCAACAATAGTGCGTCACCATCGATTTGGTTGTCCTTTAAGAGTTGTGCGAATTGTGGTGCTTTTGCCGTGAAATAAGTATAGACTTCATCGCAGTCCCATTTCCGAACGTCTGGAATACTTTCATGTGGTTTAATAATCGTCTTCGTATCATATTCAATGTCCATTTTCTCGTCATCACTTTCCGGACGCACCAAATCTGATTCAATCTTCGTTGGCTTGGTTTGGTGTTCAACCAAATCGGTTCTGACCGAAATTATCATTGGGCCATTGCTTTCAACTGACGTTCGGCCAAAGAACGGTTCAGTGCGAGCGGCTTCACGTTCTGGTGATGGCGTTGATTTTTCACGTTTAATTTCCAATTCAGCTTGAAAGTCGATTTGTTCTGAACATTCTGTTTCTCGATCAACTGATGGTGTCTTGTTTGAAGTTGCATCACTATCGATTGGGAACGAGACGATTTTCTTGATGGTCTTTGTTGCGACAGTTGGTTTCGGAGCAACTTTGACAGTTTCGTTACGTGGAAAACCGGGAAAACCTTCGGATTTTCGATTCGGTATCAAAGACCGTGGCGATATTTCAACTGGCTTCTTGGCCGCCGCCAACCCTTTCATACACATACCGCAGGTGAACTTTTTCTTCACCACGTGTTTTGGCAACTGTGCAAATTTGCTGGAGCAATGCAAGTGGTATGAGCTTAAGCAAAGGATGCATTTATAGAGTTGCTCCTGTTTTTTGGGGGAAAAGAAAAATTTTGGTCAAATTTCATGATAAATCGATTTTTGAATGACAAAAATGTGCTTACGTTCTGTGTGATTCTCAAGCAATGCTTGCAAATTTTACAAGTGGCACATTGCCAATTGTGCTCTTGGTCGGCAGTTTTGAAGAGTTTGTCATTCCGTAGGCACGTGAAATGTCCGCGACTATTGCAGTCTGTGCAATTGACGAAGCGTCCTTTCTTGATATCGCTGCGACCACATACGATGCAACCGGTACCATCGTCGGCAACGGCAAAAGTTGAAGCGCATATTGTACGTCGACGATTGTTTATTACAGCCGCTTTCACTGGTGCTATTTTCGCTTTTTCCTTCTCTTCAATCGGCGATTTTTCTAATTTCTTCACTTGTTGCTCGGGTTGTGCTTCAACTACCTTGGAAGCTTTCTTCGACTTTGCCGTTTCCGTATTTGGCAAGGAACGTCGTTTAGCACTTTCCGACGGGTCATAGAACACCTTTGGCTTACGAATACGACCACTTCTGCTGACTACCGGCTCTTCAGGTGATACATCCGGAAATTTGCGTTTTTGCGGTGATGATGCCATTTTCTGTGTTTATACAACGCGCGAAAGACTGATTTCTTCTAAGCGTAAACTTTTGATATTTCAATAAGTGTATTTCTTGTGCTACACCGTGTTAGTTTCCCTATCAAATACGGAAGTAACGTTAATACAAATGCTGAATAATTAAAAAAAACATATGAAAAAAATTAACCTTCTCAATTAAAATGGCTCATAACATAAAATTTATTGAAACAATCAACACAAACATACAATTTTATTCTCAAAAAATTCTTAAATCAAATTTCAATGAAATTCCAAATTGTGCCAAAGAACATTGACAGCTCTTTATATTACACTTAGCCGCATTGGAATTCAATAAAAATTTCGTTATATTTTCAACGTTATTTTTGAACCTATGAAAATCCTTCGGAAACCTACCTTGTAATCTTGATTTAGCACGTGATTGAATGCAATTTGTTTGCTTAGTTTTGTTGAATTTGAAATGTAATGCTTCCTCAGTTTGAACCAGTAAGCGAGTTTATTCGTGCTTATGAAGTACCAACGAAGACCAAAAATGATATATTTCATTCTGAATTGCTGAATCAGGCAATAGGTAGCGTTCCACATTTCATGTACGAATGGACTACGTTCATTTGGTGCTGCTTTGAAACGTTTAAAGTGCATTTTCATAAATAAAATTGCAAATTTGATGTGAAATATTGAAAAAATAACAACTTGCAATTAAATTTATTGAAAGAAATCTAAAATTATCGATATAGTGCATTGATTGGGTGGTTTGCGAGATGTCAAAAATCGCAAATGTGCTGGATGCCGTACTTGTCAAATCTAACGTCATGTGAACTAAATACCGATAAATGTGTTTTTATTTACCTGAAACAACAGATGAAACGTGCCGAGGAATAAGAACTTATCGCATTCATCTGTTATTGAACTGGATTTAGATCGAGGAATATGGACGCCGAATCGGAATTGAACTTGTACAATCATGTGAACTTTTTGGCCACAACATCTAAGCCAAATAAAAAATCCGCAAACCGTAAGAATCGAAGTGTTCAAAATGAAAGAACGCTCAAGTCGTTTCCAAAGCCACAGTCGCAGCAGAATGCAAGAGCGAAGAAAAACATTAATAAGTTTCAATCCAAGGTAGGGTTTGGCCTTAATATTTTTTCTTAGGGTGTTCAATGGCTCATCAACTTATTTAATTCTTTTCGATTTTCGTAGCCATACCAAGGTTCAAATGCATCCACAAAGCAGAAATCATTGAATAATGTCCGTCGGATACAATTCAAACTCAGTGCCAATGAGTTGTTATTCTTCCCAAAGCGCTATAATCCAAGGCCTGAGCGTTCAGCGACAACAGTTCCCAATGATTTGATGCGCAAGAGTAATTACCTGGCGAAAGTGAGTGTGATGTCAACTGAAAAACAACGAAAATTGCGATCGGAACAAGATGCACGATATTTAAATAAGCCAGCAACGATACCAGATGTTACTGAAGATGAGGAAAAGGCATTATGCTATGATCACCTGGTTGGGCGATGCAATTCACAATCATATTGTGGTAGATATCATCAATTGCGAAATCCACGAATTTTCGGTGTTTGTAAATACTACCTATCCGGATGTTGCACCAATGGTGATTTATGTCAATTTATGCATGAAGATTATCCATGCCGATTTTACTATTTGGATATCGACCATCCAAAGGGAATAGATGAAGAAAACTGTCGGTTTAAGCACGGTGGACCACTTCCAAAGCGACTTTATTATAATTTTAAGAAACAAATCGGCATGTGGGCAAAAGAAATTACCAAAGAAAAACCAGAGAACTTTGATAGTGTGTTGATGGATTATATAGAAAAATTTGAAACAAAACATGAAAAATTAGAAGAAGAATATGGCGTTCAGAACGATGAACCTTCAACAGTAACGTCAGAGGATGATCGATTTTCAATTGAGTCAATTCTCTCGAGTAAACAATTAAAAGCGTTAGCAGAAAAGAATATCACAACTGCAGCACAGATTAATCAAGGTCCCATTGATGATTTAATTGACTTGGGATTGACAATGGATCAAATTTATACAATAACTACAAATACATGCAATGAAAGCGATCAATCTCAAGTAACGGGTGAAGATTTTATAGATCATAATGTAAATGATGATGTTATGGGGTTGGATATAGTGTTAGGTGGCTCCAATAATTCAATTGGTAGCTCAACTAATGTACTAGATTGTGTAAGTAACGCATTAGACAGCTCAACTGATGTCGATTCTCAAGAGATTCAATCCATTGGAGATTTAGATGTAGATTCACTGCTTGGTTTTGCACAGATTGAAATGAAGGAAGCTGAACAGTTTCTACAGACCAAACAAAGCATATTTTTAGGTGGTCAAAGACCAACAAATGAATGTTTAACTTTAGAAAAGAAAAATTCAACAGATCAACTTGTAACCGTATTCAAAACCAAATCAGAGGCCTGTAAAACTGAAATGATCAATCAAAAGCAAAACTTCAACTCAGATAATTCAGATGACAGTGATAGTGAATTTAGTTTAATAATTAACGAGGATGTTTAACAAATGTTTGGTAAATTTTATTTTGGATTGACATATTGTTACATTTTATTCTGAATAAACGGTATAACTTAAAAATGAGATGAAATGCATTGTGTTTAGAATTCATCCATGGCCATCATTTCGTTCATGAATTTCTTGTAAATCGCCATGAAATTTGCGACGAATGCTTCCAGGTGGAAAATGTGTTTGCTACCTTGTTGCATGCGGTGCTCGTAGATGCATGCAAACTCGACCGTTTTTGCTTTCAACGTCATATCACACTTTTTTACCAAATTCTCGACCAATGTTTTGAAGATGGTGTCAGCTGGAATGCCTTGGGCCAGTAACTCGTACAAGCGTTCACGAACTTTTTCCAATTTAGCCGGGGTTTGTTCAGAGAGGATTTGATTGGCTGTTTCACGCAAAAATATTTGCCATTCGAGGTCCATGATCTTCTGATTGGCCGTAAATGGATACTGTTGAGCCCGAGTCGCTTCCAACAATAAAATGGCACGGCGGAGATTTCGATCGGATTGAGTTGCCATACGTTCAGCCAATTCACGGGGAATCGTACAATTTTCTTTCTTACAGATTTTCTGCAATTTTTTTTTGACAAAAATTGAAAATTAATTATTTAAAATGACGAGTTTCATGTTTGAAATTGTAAAAAAAAACTTGATGTTTTAGGAAATTCAATTTCCAAATATAAAAAAAATACAAATTTATCTCAACACAAACCTCTAAAATACCAGCAACGTCATTAACAGTTGGGGCAGAGACGCGAATACCCAAGCAACGACTGCGAATGGCCGGAATGACTCGTGACGTTGAATTCACGCACAAAATAATACGGCATGTGCTCATGTACTTTTCCATCGTTCGACGCAGTGCATGTTGAGCATCCTTTGTCAGTGAATCTACCTCGGATAGAACAATCACTTTGAATTCTCGTTGGCCAGCGGAATTCAAATTGCGTGTTTGAGCAATTTGTTTGATGAGTTCAACGACAACGATACGATCATGAATACCTGAAATGAATGTTTAATTTTAGGAACGAAAAATACAATAAAAAAAAATCGAAATAAAAATACCGGCATCCGATGGATTAATTTCCAAATGGTAATTACTGCCGATGGTGAGAATTTCCATTTTCTTATTCGATGCCGTTGTGAAGTGAAATATTTCATTTTTGATATGCTCAACACCTTCGCCGTAAAGTTCACGCAACAAGCACAAGATGCGAGTTTTTTTGCCAGCACCGCTTGGACCGAAGAACATCAAATGTGGAAAATCGCTTTGCTGTGCTAAATTCTTCAACTGTTGTGCCTGATCCTTGTGATAATCCAAGGTGTCAAGTGTTCGTGGCCGGTGCTTATCAACCCACAAAGCCATTTTTTTTACCAAAATATTTCGAAAAATTCAACAACAAAAAAATTACGTCTGAATCGATGAAGAGTGTGCACAAATGTCAGCGGTTTAGAATTTTCAGCGCCAAAATCTGTTTACTTCGTTCAGCAGACATATTAAACGTCACTTTAGTTGTACCACAGCCGCATATGACAGATGGACACATTAGTTGTCAAAAAAAAGTATTTTGTGTTTGCGATGCAGAATTGTTTATGTGACGACTATTGATGATTCTTTGAAGAGATTTTTTTTTTTAAAACTCTATTTTTGTGATATTATTATCAATTGAAACGTACAAATAAAGAAACAGGTTTCGTTTTCGATGTAACATTTTGTGGAAGAAAAGAAGAAATTGGTAAAACACAACGTAAAAATGGCTGATGGAATAGATCGTTCTGTACCCGAGTATGAGCAAATGCGAACTCTCAAACTCTTTTCCGATGAGGAAATTTTGTAAGTAAACAAAATACTATGCACCCGTCTTCTTTGATCTTCCACATTATTCTAATTTGTCATCGAAATTTCATAGGAAAATCAAAAAGACACGAGAGAATTTCGACTACAAATTGTCGCAACCATCAAGAGGAATTAAGGATTTTGTTGAATATATCAAGTATGAGCGTGGTTTAATGGCCACGACTAAGGAGAGGATAAAACAGAACAAGATCACCACAAACCATTCGATATTAATACAGATTGCCGATCGCATGAAAAAACTCTATGCCAATGCTCTTTCGAAATTCACGAACAACATTCGCTTTTGGGATGAATACATCAAGTTCTTGCAGACATTCAAGTACACAAAGGACATCTCATCGGCTTTTGACCGCATACTACAGGTTTGTACATTATAATAATATAGAATGCAATGATGGTAAAAAAAATGAAAAAGAAGAAGCTTAATAAAACGTCAATTTTGTGTGTCTTTAGTTCCACAGTGAAAAGCCTGAAGTATGGATTCGTGCGATTGTCTGGGAATACAAAGAGAATTTCAACGATGAACGAGTGAAAAGTCTCCTACTGCGCGCACAACAACGTCACCCTGAATCACAGAAGCTGTATTTGACATTTTTCAAAATTGAACTAGAAAACAAGCGTAAGTCGGAAGAGCTCGAGGCGTTACAGCACGCTGATATCGTCTACAGCAGCAGTAAAAAGAAGTTTACAAACATTGATTTCTTCATTGAGATGCTGAATATCGTCGACAAATTCAGCTATGCCAGCTCCATTCAACAGAATATTCTGGATGACATGCGAGAAATGTTCCCTCGCGAAGAACTTCTCTGGCATACGCTGGCACAACGAGAATTAAGTGGATTGTCCACGGTTGATTGCACGGTGGATTTCACTGGATTGATTAAGTCAGAGGATGGTGTGAATAAGGGTGAAGATAGCAAGGTGAACTTGAAGAAGCTGAAAATTGAAGATTTATCTGCGCCAGCACAACACACACTGCGAAAACGCATTGAACTTTGCATTCAAATTTATGAAGAGGCTGTTAAATTGGTGGGTTTAAATCAAACTCTAGCATCATTTTAGCTACGTTCTAAATCAAGTTTCAAGTCTTTTGTATGGACAATTATTTTGCATTGAAACATTCTATACCTTTTTCCAGGTCAACACAAACAAAATGTGGAACTATTACATCGATGCAATGTTGGAATTGAATAGCGATCTATCGACGCAGTCTTCAATGAAACGATTCGCATTGAAAAAGGCCTTCGAGGGAGCGAACGCATCGAATCACATGTCTGAAGATCACTATTTACAGTACATCGAATTATTGTACACGAATAATCCAAAGGACGATAACATTGAAAAAGTGTTTCAGAAAGCCACGAAAATCTTTGAATCGTCGGTACGAATATGGCTTCTTTGTATGCGCTATTACATCCAAGACAATAATTTTAAGAAGCTTCAAGACGTGTTCAAAACTGCCAAATTTTTACTCGGCCCAAAAGGATCCGAACTATGGCAATTGTATTTGATCTACTTGAAATCGTGTCGCAGTTCCGAAGCTCATGCCGAGTTCGAGAGATACATCAACGAATTGTCACGTCAAACCTTTGCCACTTTCAATGTGTTGAAAGCGCAAATGTTAGAACTGCTCGCGACAACAGTGAATATGAAAAAAGCCCGGAAGACTTATGGTTCGTTCATTAAAAATCATCCTGTCTGCTATGAGGTGCATGAAATGATGGCAGAACTTGAGGCTAAACAGGTAATACATTGTTTCTCATTGTTTATCCCATTCATAGACATTTCCGAGTTCATTTTTCTTGTTGTTGAATAAAAAATATTCGAAAAAGGTTAAAAATCTAATCATTTCATCATTTCCATTGAAAATAGATGATCCGCGATCCCGAATCAGAGCGATACTGCCTGGAAATGTTGATACTGAATTTCGGAAAAACAAGAACAGATGTTTGGCTTCGATACATGCGCTTCGAACGCTACGCCGGTGAACCGAAAAATGTGAGCAAATTGCATAAAAGTGCATTGGCTACCCTCAAACCCGAACTTCTTGATGACTTCAGTGCACTTTACAATTTCTTCTCCAACGGTGTTGTTTAATTAGTAACAGACAATCCATAGCAACCAAATAGTTTTTTTTTTCCTAAATTTCCAATCAAATCAAATAAATGCCATTTTAAACAATCAACCATAAACAGATTTGGTTTATTCTTGCAATTACACAACACATCAATAAATAATTTGAAAGTTGTATTTTTAGTAAATATCTTGTTGAAAAATCTCTGGTGTTGGCATTGAAATAGTGGCTGCTAAAATTGGCTTGGCCTGATTTGATTTCAAGATCATCACACGAACATTCGCTGTATCTGGTGTGAGATCACTTGGTTGAAGTCCATCGTCTGGATCGACAACTGCCGTCACTGGGAAATTTATTTTAATTGGAGCATTGGGCACTATTAACGGTAACTGAAAATATGGAACAATTAAAACGAGTTGAAGTCCAATTTAGATTGAATCAAAAAATTACTTTTTGAAAGGCTTTCTTCAGCAGAAAGTGTCGGTGGTCACAATGAAGTAAAACACATAGATCGGACGCAACTTTGCGCGATGACATATTCTCAATTATCAAAAAGAGTTGAAAATCAGGACCCAAACCGCACACTTCAGCTGCGAGTTTGATTGGTGTCTGTCCAATATCGCCGGAAATGGTGCTTTCAGCTGAATTGATCACTTCAACCGTTTCTCTTGCGGCTATTAATCTGAGGCGCCATAACTCGGTAAGGAAATTATTATAAATCGCAGGTGCATTTTCACGCTCTCGAATCGTTTGCTCGATAAATACTTTCGTTTTCTTTGGTATTTGTAATGATCCCGAACGATCATTATGTTTGTCATAGAAGTCGACTATCTCCACGGTAAACTCAGCCGTCCGTTTGAGTATTTTGATGATTAGCGATCCCTCTGTAAGAATTTGTTTTGTTCAATTTGTTTATTAGCATTAAATTATAAGAAAGTATACCAATTGTAATCAAAACAAGCACATGATCCTCTTGACCTAATCGTCCAAAAGCCATTGCCGATACGGTTTCTATGAAAATAGTAGAAGTGTTATTCTTTGTAGTTGAAGGTTTCATATAACCAATTGTTTGTAGCGAAAATAAAAACAAATCTACATTTATCGTAGGCTAAAAATTTCACTATTGATAGCACTAGAGTCAAGAACTAATTATAAGCTTCAGACACAAATTCGTTGCCCGCTTCCAAATCAATTGACTTGAAATACCTGAAACACTAAATTGATCCACAATCACTTTATTCGAATAAATTTGCACTAGTCCGCCACGCAATGCGACACAAACCAATGTTTGGCCAACATGCGATAGAGTTATTGACACCATACATATGGCTGGTTCAGGTAGAATTACGCCCCATAACCGTTTTCCTTTCTTTGAGAAACACTCAAGTGTTTTATCGATGCATACAACGATTATTGTTTGATCGATGGGCAATAGAGAGAGTCCAACAGCGGGGTGATCAATTTTGAAAATCGATTTTCCTTCTAACCATCCACGCCGTAGCATACACACATCACCCTGTCGCGTCGCAACTACAATGCGAAAATCGTGTTCATATTGACCGCTAACTGATATCAAGCTCGGCGTTGCCGTCATCGACGAAGAAGTGCGAGCCTATAAACGGAGAATGCAATCAATATGTGCTATAATAAATTGGCTTTTGGAATTGAAAAATTGGTTGCGTTACAGTAACATATTATTCGTTTTTATAAATCGATATAATTTAGCATTAAAAAAATCAATTATCAATATATTGGACAATTATACTATTTGTAATTTCTATTCCATCACATCGACAGCCACTTACATGCTGTAATACTGAGAACGATTGTGTGTCCAAAATAATAATCTCGCCCGACTCGCTGGCGATTATCAGGTATGAAACGATGCTTGAGCTACTCGTATTTCGTCGTATTGTGTCCATGGCCACGATTGTTGGCAGCCGCAGTAATTCTTTGTCCGCATTTTTGGCAATGAAATCCTTTTTCGAAAACACAAACACTTATGATTTACATGAAATTGGTCAAGGTTACCCATATATTGGATACAGTACTTGCTGCTCATCTTCTGGCAATGAAATTAGTTTCTGCGACATAAGGGTCAGTTCACTGATGCGTATCGTTTTCAAATTCTTCACCAGTTCTGGAATTTGTCCAGATTTTTCAAATGGTAGCTGCAAACCGGAATAACATCATTTCTCGGTGCACGTGTGTGTATGTGTAATATGAATAATGTATATCGTACCTTTCTCCATATTTCCTTCTCAAGTGGATCTATTTTTAGGCTGGGAAATGTGTACTTGAAGAACGGTTTCATATTTTTGTAAAAATACACAGCTGGCCCGATGGCAACGGCAATCACTGCACAACCAATAAAATCTAATTTTAGTTCTATGTTCATGCAGTGTATGCATTACTTGCCTGGTAGTTTTGGATCATTGTCGTCAACGTAGAACGATTTTAGGCTGGATGGAATGCCTGGTAATGTTTGTTCACTGACAAGCGTCGTTCCTTTGTACACTTTCAACTTGGGCTTCTCATCCGATTTGAAGCTCTGTGGAATTTCCACAATGACCAACTTAAAATAGTCATCGTTCCTCAAATCGACTAGAGTCAAATATGCTGGAAATGTTCGCAGTATTGTATTTTGCTCCGATTGAGCATCTAACCATTTCTTTGACGTTCTATCACCCGAAAGCATGTTGAAATGGCAACGAAATTTATTCTCTGGAAATTACAATAAATCTACAGACACTCACCTCATCGTCTTATCTGTACGATAAAAATTCAATGACTACAACATGTGAATGACGTTGTTGACTAGTGTTTAGAATGCGTTGTCTTGGTAACCAATTTCGTATGTCAAAGCACACGTTTAACGAATAAAACTATCTGATTATGATTTTTCTGTAGACTAGACGGATTATCCGAATGTCAGCTTCCTTTTGGGCTAAAATTTTATATTGCATTTCTAGTTCCAATAATTATGCCTTAATTTACCTGCAATTTCAAAATATCTTCTGCAGAGGAAGTGAACACAGATAATTAAAGGAATTAATGGAGATTAAGAGTGATCTGTGGTATCTACTCAGTTTTTCTGGAACTACAACAATTTGGGTTATGTCTTGCCTTGCCTTGCCTGAAACCACTATATATATATATCGAACAATTTAGGCCAACTCTTCGGAGTTTTGAAGTTCAGAACGATACAGTCTCTTTGTGTATTTGAAATATCATCAAGTTTCCTTTGCTTCTCAGTCAAAGAGTGAAAAAATGCATTTTAACGAAGTAACATTTTCAGTAGTTTTATTATTTTCTTCTTTTACTTAAAATCATTTGAATATACAGAGTGTTGAATGAATATTCCATTGTTATTTTAGCTCGTGCCTAACTGAATTGTGCCACGAATCATCATGGATGTTGAAATGCCACCGGCACAAGATTCACCGAAGCACATTCTGAATGCATTGAATGATGATTGTATTCAGTCAATATTTCGTCAAATGGACAACGTACGAGACTTCTTGAGTGCAGCAGAAACATGCCTTCGTTTCCAGGAAAATGCCAAGCTCATTTTCCGGGCAAAGTACAGAAAGATCCGAGTTAGTGAATTGTTATGGCATATCAATCATGCCAATGCCATAATGGTGGTTCAATTGCAAAGTTTGCTCAGCATCTTCGGCCATTTGATCATGGACATTTATTTCATTGGGCAATATTCAAAATATCACGGCGATATTCAAAATATGATTGCAGATTATTGTGGAAGAACATTAGGGATATTTAGAATTCATTTATTTCCTTATTACAAATCAGTGGTCAACTTCAAAACTCGATCACGATTTCAAGTGTTAGAAGATCTAGAAATACATAATACAAATGTTCACAATTTCGAATATCATACGCAACTAAGAAGATTGATCATAGAAGGGCAGCGCATAACAGATTTCGACTGGCTTATTCAACCATTTCCGCGATATCAACCATATTGCGATTTGATCAGGCCATTGAAATCTTGAAATTAAATCCACAACTGAAAAGCCTGTACATTCGTTTGTGTAATCGAATTACACCACATAATTACGAAAACATCGCAAATCTGACACCAAATCTGGAAAAACTATTTTTGTGGTTGCATGATGACGCATGAAGGCCTCCTTCACATAAGCAAATTGCGGTACCTGAAGTATTTGGCTGTTTGTTCGAATACTAATATTCCTGTGGGTAGATTAATAGATCTGGATTGAATATTTTGCAATTGAAATATCTGAAAAAACTCTGTCTCACGCAAATGACCGACGAAACACTCATCGATTATGTTAAATATTTGCCGGCTTTGGAAGAAATGATCTGTGCGGAACAGGACAATATTAGGAGAATTCGGACGAAAATAACTTTACCGGGTATTGGAAGAGCACTGAAATACGGTGATACGAAAAAAAAGACAATAGACTTGGATGGATTTAAATCGGTTTTAAATTTAGCAAAGCAGAATCGTGTCAAAGTGACAATCAACATTAAAGATTGTAAAATCAATGTATTATTGGAGGCAAATCGTAAATGGCTCGAACTTTATACTGGAGATTCTTTATCAGGGTATTAACCAGTAAATGATATTGAGATGTTTAAACCTTATTGACACTTCTTAAAAAAAAAGAAAGTATGTAACAAACATAAATGGAAATTTCATTGTTTGCAACAAATACCATTTGTCAAAGCATTCAACACACGTATAATGAATAAAACAATTCGATTTTTTCTGATTTTATTTTTCGATTGAAGACTTTTTTTCTCAATGTTTTTTTTTTCGTTAATCGTTTTATTTTATTTTCTCTCTCATTGCAATTATTAGATAATACACTCCATTTCATTCTTAGTCAAATATTATTTTTGGTCATTCCCTCCATTTTCGAACCGAATGGTGAATACTTGTGGTGATTTTTTTTATATTAATTGCAGAGTAACATGCATTTTTTTCGTTTTTAATTTTAAATTTAATCTATGGAAAATGTTCGCTTTGTTATAAATCGTTCCAATGTGTTTTTGTTTTCTTTTTAAATCTAAATGATGAAACCAGTTGTTTGTTCGTTCGAAGTGATGTGTGGACAAATAAAAAATAATGCGAAAATTCGCATTGCAAGAACCATAACGGTCACATGTGATCTATCTATTTACATATATATCAAATGCATGTTTTCTTAATACCTGTTTTTTTGCTTCATCCTTTTCAATTGTTTAATTCTTTTTTCTTTTATGAATTGTATTATTGTTATCATTTTGTTTTTAAACTCCGTTTATTTTTCTTCTATTGGATATCAGCTGATTTTAGAATGTGATCGATTTTCAGTCATGCTTAAATTGGTTTGCTGCATATTCTCTTGTAACAATTAAACAATCATGACTTAAAAAAAATGATATTTGTTTTTCTCTTTCATCTTTTTTTTGTTAGACGACAATTAGAAATGTGAAAATAAGTTACTGCTTAAACGATATACGGAATTTTCTCTAATCAGAAGAAGAAAATTTCCCTAATGAAAATGACACAAAACAGTCAGCGACACAGACAATTTTCAAATGAAATCACAAAACAAAGGCCGAAAAAACCTTCAAACGAAAAATTATCCGTGCATTAAATCATTTTGATAGCTTAAGAAGTAGTGTCGGTTTGGTTTACACGCAGAAAAAAATTGGTCAAAATCCCGAAATTATATGTACGAAAATACGAATTTAGCAGTGCTTTTTTTGTTATATCTTACGACGTCCAATTACAAAACCATAGCCAATCAATCAACACACCACACGATATTAATTTATCTCTTTTACTCCCTCTTTCTCACTTTTTTCGTTATAAAAAATATATATATATCCTGAACACTTTTCAAACGCCTAACACTCGGTGAAGTAGCTAAAAACGCTATTCTTACTACTTTCGATCCCAAACATTCGCACAATTTTTTTATTTTTTGATTTTCTTTTCGTTTTTTTTTTAGTGACACAATAAAAATATATAGAGAAGAAGAAAAAAAAAGATCTGATTCATTTTGTTGTTCTAGAGATTAGGCTCGCTTTTTGTTGATGTTGTTTTCTTTCGTGGTAAAATTAGTAAGTGCATGTCTCTCATAAACGTTTTAGAACGCGTTTTTTGTCTTTGCCTAATTTTTCTTTTCGCTTATCCTGACCATTCGATCGGCTGTCGAGCGCATGCTTCTTTGACTGTGGACCATCGTCGGTGATTGAGTCACCGTCAATTTTCAATGCTTTCGATGATCGCTCGGACTGCGCATGGATTTCAGTCATCATTTTGGCACGCGACGAATAGTCATCGTAATGTTCCAGCAACAATTTACCAGCCTCTTCGTTCAAGGCAGATTCGGCATTCGGTACGATCAACAAGCACTTTACCGTCTGGAAGAAAAAAAATTGTTTATTCAATACGACCAAATTCTGAATCCAGCTTGCCATTGGAAAAATTAGAACAATAGCTTCTAAGCAATGAATTTATTCAAAGAAGAAACGTCTTGAACAGCAATTTAAATTAAGACATTTTTGCTATGATTACGCTGCGGCTTGCAACTTACCAAAAGAATGTGTTTAATGCCCAAATCGGGTTTCCAGTCCTTTTTCAGTGTGTTGACGCAGATTTCACCATTGGCCGCAACATTCGGATGGAAGATTTTTGTGAGGAAATACGCTTTTGGTGGCGTTTGTGGGAAATCTTTACCCAATACCAATTTCACCCGGAAAAATCCACCAGCATATGGCGTACCAGCTGTGAGAGAAAAAAACAATGACGAAATTGTTGTTCAATTCTTAAAACTCAATTAAAAACACCGAATCAAAAATGAACATAGATCGTAAAATTCTATGAACATAGCACTTGAACACATCACATCCGGCAGCTAATAAAATGGATGTTTGTTTACAAACCTGGTCCCTCAAGCACAGCTTGAATATCAGTTACGTCGGATTCGTTGATTTGTACTTTAATACCTTCGGGTGAATTTGTATGGATGTCATGCATTTCCTTCACCACTTGGCGAATTATTTGTGGCGACAAATTTTCTACATTCGATGACTGCGACCGAGAAATAAAAGAGAGAAACAAAAATAAAGCGAATGCATTCAATTAAAAATAGAGCCACGGTAATAATATTTATTTTGGAGAATGAGCATGATGCATGCGGTGAACGAGAGAGAGGGATCGAGCAAATCTATTTCTAAAACGAATTCGCACCATTTGCGCTAAACAAATAATAGATTACATATAGTAATAGTGCGCGCAAGTGAGTCTATCAACATGGAGGCCAAATTGATTTTCATCACATCTCTATATTTGAATTGTGCCAAACAGATACACCATGATTTTTCGTGGACAATAACACGTTATACCAAAAGACAAAAAAAAATGTCTCAAAAACAAACGAAATGAAAATTGTCTACTTACGGCATTCATTTTTGGTTGAATATTTTATTTATGCTTTAAATCTAATGGATTAAAAAAAACTAAATTTTTTGCTGTTCACTTGCAACAGAAAACCGTTTTGATTAGCTAAGATCAATGTGAACTTCTTTCACGTTTTCGTTCAGTTGGCTTTTGTCGAATCTATTGCCTGGTGTGTCGAACAAGAAAAAAAAGTACGATTGTCGTTCTCACACTCAAAGTTCTCTCTCATTTGTTTGTGTATTAATTGCTATTGTATTTATAGAGGCGCTAGCCAACTGTGTGTGTTGTGTGTGCAGCACAAAATGCGATTAAACTATTCGTCAATGTTTGAATTTTCCACTAAACACAACAATAGCGAAACCAAAATTGCTAATTAGAAAAAAAACCCTTCGTTTCTTTTTTCAACTAATTACAAACGACGACAGATGAAAAAAAAAATTGGAACACACATGAATAATTTTTGATAGAGACCATCGATAGCCGTTCGATGGAGAGAAGACAGAACGAACGAACGAAAAAAAAATATGTCTATTTGACTAAGAATTAATGAACGATGTTGATGTGAATGTGTGTATAAAGAAAAATCATGCCAAAAAAATGTGTGCGTGATAAACGAACGAACGACTAAATAACACACAATGCTTTGAGACGTTTTTCCTCTCTGTTTTTTGTTGTTGTGGCTCTTCGCCTCACGCTCTCTTACTCTCTCACTCTCTCTCACTCTCTCTCTCTCTCTCTCTCTCTCTCTCTCTCTCTCTCGTCTAGTAGTAGCCGCACACAATTTCAGTTTCATACACACGCACCGCACATAGAGACACCATTGCTTAGATTTTTTCTGCTTTTGAATTTCAAACACTACACTACTATGAAGCGATCTCTTTTTTACTCGGTTAAAATCGAATCAAGTGCGCTCTATGTTGTTGAAAGAAATACAGCAGCACGCGCGACACAGTGTTGACGGTTCGTTAAATGCATGGACGACACATACAGTCGTCTCGCTCATACTTACGCAATGCCATTGTAGTATAAACATATATTTTGAAGCGGGAGCCTACAAACACAGCAGCAGCAACAACACAACGTACAGTCAAGCAAATGCTGTATGTTCAACGGTTTTCGGCGAATTCAAGCCAATGTCACATCTTATCTCAATCCATCTGCTCTCTTTTCGCCACCGCAGCGAATCAACCAATTCGAATATATTTTGCTACGGTAAAATGGACCAAACCAACCGCTCTCTCACACACTTGATGGATGCTTTACACGTTTTTGTCTTACAGGAATGCAATTGGAATCGACAACAGGGTAAAAGAGTGCAAACACGTTGTTTCATGTCAAACAGTTAACCGTGAACATTTTGGAATGTCAACCGTAACATACAGATGCGTTGTTTGAACTCAAATTTGCGTTAATAACTGCATTTAGAATGTTTTAATTGCTTGTTTGCAACAGAGAATTTTGAACTTTAATTTTTGAATCCTTTTTTAATACGGTTGCTTTTGTGAAGAAAAAAAAGAAGTGAATTACGATCGTAAAACGGGAAAATGGTGCGCGAACGACGCAAATCGTTCTATGAAGCTATTCGGCGTATTGCCGATTTAACATTAATTCCTTCACAATCAACGATTGTTGAATCTCCGAAAAGGAAAATAGCACGTCGACAAGAGCCGCCAAAACCACCCCGAAGAAGCAATCGTTTGCGTGGTATTCATGTGGCCGAATCAAGTCTGAACATCCCAATTCGTCGTCAAACTCGTTCGAATAAAACTCAAACCAATTCAACAAATGTTGCAAATGCCGCACAACAACCGAGAAAAATTCAATGTCGACGGGTCACAGTGGCATTGGAACGAATGAGCACCCAAACAATGAACGAAATGCTCGGTATTGAAAATTCAACCGTACCACCTTTTAGTCCACCTGCACTAGCCGCAAGCATTGTTCATGTTTCGCCGAGAAGAATCGCAACTCGACGATGTACGGTCAATCTTGAACGCATGGATTTATCGAGCTATCGAGTGCTGCCGCCAATTGAGGAAAGTGTGCATGAAGATCAACCTGAGCAGCAAGATGAATTAGTTGTTGAGCAGCCAGAATTGGAAATTGAACTATCATCAGCACCAACACCAGCTATTGAGTTACCGTTACAAGATATCGAGCTCCGTGGACTAGATGATTCCGATATTATTATGCAAATGGAAGACTTGCCGGTTGAAGATGTGGCGATTGAAGAAGACGTGTCAGTGGACACATTAACCGAAACTGAAGCCGTTGCAGAAATATTGGTCGATACGATGAGCTCCTTTGGATTATTTCAACTAGGATTGCCACGACCGTCAACACCGACACCACCACCAAGACAACGAACATCATTGGATGCACCGTTGACACCAGGCAAAATTGTCGATGAAATGATGGACACAGACTCCGAACATTCACAGGATTGCATCGTTTCATTGAGTCGAATGAATTTGAGTGTGGATACGGATAGCGAAGTTCTTGCTTCCACTTATTTTCATTTGCCGTCCGAAACTTCTCTGCGGCCGTGTCGAGCTCTAGTTCCATTTCGGAATCGACACCAACAATCATCACAAACCGAAACCATGATTTCGTGGACTCCTCATGGGAGCATTTCGCAAGATTCGATTGCAGTCGAATGTTCACAGTCAATGAGTGACATTTTTTGTGACCAAACTGGCATCGTCGAGCCCAAAAAAGGATTCATCGATTCCGATCGCATTTCGTATGGTGCTATTGTCAAATACCGAACGGACACATTCGCTGTTAATTGTTTCGATCACGGTGATGACACAATTCGATACCATTTTTTGAGCAAATTCTGTCGATCCTATTGTGCCGCTCTGAATTCACAGTTTACCGGCAAATTGTGCACAACGAAAACAACAGGTATGTATCAGCACCAGAGCTTCTGAAGCCGGGTCCTATGGATCTGATCAACACATTTTACATTTAAAACCAAGTCAGATATTTTGTATTGATTTATTTTTTGAACGCTTTTTCATTTAGCTCGATTGATGGTCAAATACTCCCATGTTGACGAAAGTCAAATTCGTATTCTGGAATACGGTGTAAAGACGACAATCGGAAATGTCAATGTAACCGCAATTCAAGTGCCAAAGTGAGCATTGCTAAGTTATATAATGTGTTTTACATTTTTTGTATTGAATTTAATTTTAATTTGACGCTGTATAATTTTATTTCAGTTTCCCTGGTGCAGCATTGTTTTTGTTTGAGGCAAAAGACGAGAAAACGATCGTTCATGTTGCAAATTTTCGGCTGATAAATGAGCTCGAGTCAGATGCATCGCTGTTAAACAGCAAAATTGACGATATTCGATTTGATGAATCGTATGTTTTTTTTGCCGTTCATTTTCGCTTTTGAATTAATCAATAAATTTATCACATTCATGTTTCTCAATCAAAGTCAGTTAGTTGTGGTTTCGATCTGAATTTATGGATGTGATTTTTTTTTTACAGGATTTTATCTGGCCTATTTTATCAATCTCCACGCAGCACTGACCGTTACATGGATCTAATGGCTGCCACGGCGAAATTTTTGCACATAAGTCGTCAAAGTGGACTCAGTCATTTGATCGTACTTGGTGCGGTTGAAATTGGCATGGAATTTTTGATATATCGATTGACCAAAAATTTTGACGGTAAAGCGTATGTGAGTCCAGAACGTCGTGCATTTTTGGATTGTATGAAGTTAGACTATGATCGAGACACGCTAATTCGGAAATTGAGTCTTCGTGAAATATTAGTCTCAAACCCAGATGATGCACTCATTCATGTGCTTCCAGTCGATGATATTACACTGGAGGTGAGTTATCGGATTACAATTGTTTGGCTCTTCATTTAACAACAATCGCCATCGATTAAATCAATCTTTTCGAATATATTCTAATAAATGAATGTTGGATATTTTCGGTTTAGAAACTGATGAATTACAAGGAAATTAAGAACTATGTGCGAGTTTTGGGCATTCGGCCGCGTGGCTGTGATGCTGTTTTGCAGACTGTGGTCGACGGTGTTGTCGAGATCGTGGGTAAGAGTTGCTTTGTTCATTCAATTCCGAACGGATTCGTTGCTTCGGGAAATGAACATTTTGTTTCCATGCAAAAAAATTGGATTGAAATTAATTGTGTTTTTGTATTCAGATGTAGCGAATCCATTGATTGGGGACTTGGACGAGTATGAGCGATTCGTTCGTGTGCACACAAACGATCATGCCATAGAGCCAATCGATCATGGCGAGCGGTCGAAGAATTCAGTGGTCGTAGAAGAATTAGAATAAGAAGACAAATCCGGTAATAGTTTGGGTCATGAGCAATGCTCATTGAGCATGTAAGTCATTCGTTTTGTTTGAAAAGTGAAAGTAATTTGAAATCTCAGAAGGAAAACAAAAATGTTTACCCATTGTCACACCAACTAACTTTAATATATTTTGGTGCGGTAATCATATGAAGTCCATTATAATATTGATACTGGTTTTTGTGCGACGGCGCAAACCCACAGTTGCGTATGTTTGTGTCTCAATGAAAATATATCGTATTTTATGGCTCTCTCGTTGGTAACTTTCTCCGAAATGTTTAATGAGATATGTCGAAAATGCGACACACCAAATGGAATGTAAACAAAACGCACGGTGTCTTGAGTGTATTAGTGCGTCATTGTACTCATTTTTTCAAATATCATTCAACAAAGTGATATTGCAATTTGTTGAAACAAGAAAATAAAAACCAATTAGTCAATAGATTTTTGAAAATTCGTTTGCATCTTAAATGCTAAAGCCAGAACCAAACTGTTGACAATCTTAGTTATTTCGTAAGTTTAACGTATGCTGTCGCAGCAACCTTTGCAATATTGACTAACTGTCTGCTAAGCCGTTTCTTTTTCGTTTATTTCGATATAAACATTTTACCGTTTGAATTCTTTTCGCCTACCACATATCGTGCCGCGCGAAACGTTCGAAGTAGGGAGAGTGTATTTACACAAGGTATACATATTTCACATGTGAAACCACCACATAAGTCAGTCAATTGCAATATATCCAACGATCACCTTGTATCGTGAATCGTACTTTTAATTAGCTTCGATTTTCTTTACAGTTTGTACGATCGCACCAAAATCCAACGCACGATTCAAAATGATCGAAAGTGTAAATTTACCGAGCATCCATCCAAATGGACCATTCAATAAGATTAGTGACGCTCACATCAGCGATAATTACCGTCTTAAATTTCCGTTTCATATTAAACAAGTCGACCCGATTATCAACCAGAGTTTAATCAAAGACTTCACTGGTAGTGAATTTTTCTTAATTTTTATTTTTGCATAAATAAGAATGTTTGAATGTTGGAGTGTTTTCCATCCAAAAATGAATTCGACAATAAGTAACAATTTTTTTGAATCGGAAAAAAATTGACCAAGTTTGTGTTTTGCTTGAAAAAAAGACGGTATTTCAAAACATCGAATAATGCTGACGTTTTTCATTGTAGTAGTTAACAGCACTTGATGGGAAACTAATTTATGCCAGATTTACGCAATGCAAACATATTTTTATTTATACAAGTTTTTTTCAAGTTGTTGTTGTGATTTTGATCGGAAGTCCGATAAAATATGTGGAAAAAATATATGCGGAATTTTTTAGAGTCATTTTCATTTGTTCAACAGTTTTCATGAATTTCCAATGTGACATTTATTAGTAAAGTAAATGATGACACAGATTTTGCATCATCAAAACATGCATTCGTCATATTTGTTCAATTGATGGACAAGTCTAGCCAACGAATACCATATCTAATTGATTGTAAACATTCGAAACATTTTTCTTAACAATATTTACTCAATCGAAAGCACTGGTGAAACAATCATTTGTTGTGAATTAGCGTTTGGTCTGAACTTCAGACTCTGAAGTGGCGCTATTGTGCTCATCTTTTGTTTGAAATCTGTTGAGGCACCGTTCAAAAGGTGCACGATTTCAATCAGATATCTTTTACATAGATAATATAGAGGGAATATCGATTGTAATCGTAATCTACAGATCGTATCGTCAGAAACCAGCATTTGAAATTGAATTTTGATGACTCTTATTTCATAAGATGCACATTTGTTAAGAAAATGATACTTTTTCTTATTGAAATCAGATTTTTCATACTAATGTTGTTTTGCATCTGGATTGCATATGCACGTATAGTGGAATATATCCGATTATTTGCTTTTCATAGCGAACATTTCAAACAACCTGATGTTTATTAATGTGGCAAACCGGTTGTGATTAATTGTGTCGCGTGCTTACAGCTCGTGCACTTTGTCGGTTTTACGAACAAAATTATGTATTTATTCAATTTCATTCTGTTTGCCTGTAGTAATCGTTACACTCAGGAAACAAATTTATTCTATTACATTCATGACTTGATATTGTAGGCTATTATATGTTTGTTAATGTGGATATCGATTGAATTGGTAAAATGACATTGTGACCTTTGATTATAGGTGAGAAAGATGGATTCGTTCAAGTGGGTCCGAAGAAGTACCTTTTTCCTGGTACATTTAAAAAGCATGCCGAACACTTTTACAATTTCAAAGCACGCAACGATGATATCTGGATTGCCACTTATCCTCGTTCAGGAACAACATGGACCCAAGAATTGGTGTGGATGATTGCCAACGATTTGGATTATGAAGCGGCGCAGCGCGATTTTCTCACCAAACGATCACCATTTTTTGAGTAGGTTTTTCTTTTGAATAAATAAGATTAAGAAATCTAAATGAATATTTGATTAACATATTTCTTCTTCTTAATATTTGATTGGAAATTTCCGATGAATCAATCGAATATTTTTCAATTAATTCAAGAAAATCGAATTTTAATGCAATGACAAGAAAAGATAAAATAGAATTTGATAAGAAAAATAATTATTTTCTCGTTTCCAATCCCAGATTTTGCGTTTTTATGCACGACAAAACCAAGCAAATGTTCATCGACGAACACGAGGGAAATATAAGAAATCAAGATACGATCCGAGCAATTAGCGTCCCGGGCTACGAATTCATTCCGAATATCGCTGAAAGGCGATTTATTAAAACCCATTTACCATTTTCATTGATGCCGCCAAGTGCGATGAACGAACGTGCTAAAATCATTTACGTTGCTCGCAATCCAAAAGACGTTGTGGTTTCGTATTATCATCTGTCTCGCCTATATCGAACCACCGGCTATGTTAACGATTTCGATCAGTTTTGGGATTATTTCGAAAACGATTTAGGTGAATTGATATGAAAATGAGTTTTTTTTTCGCTTTGGATTTTTGAATGCATCATTTTTATATAAGAAATGTTGAAATCGGAAACCAAATTTTTTTTCAAAAAAAAAAGGCTGATTTGGAACAATTGTTTTATTTTTCAGTCGCTTGGTCTCCATACTGGGAGCATATCAAAGAAGGCTGGGCTCATCGTCATGAGCCAAATGTCTTATTCATGTTCTATGAAGAAATGAACAAAGTGAGTAATCAGTCTAATTGTTTTTTAAATGTTCATAGTATACTTTAAAAAAACCCATCTCTTTCGATCATTAGGATCTTCCAGCGACAATTCGTAAAGTGGCTAAATTCCTGAACAAGTCCATGAACGAGGAAGAAGTAGCAAAACTCTCCAATTACTTAAACATTGAAAACTTTCGCAATAATCCGGCCGTAAATCAGCATGAACTCCGTGAAATTCGCATTTTGAATTCAACCGAACCATCGTTTGTACGCAATGGCAAGTCCACGCTCAAGGGATGGCAGAAAGAATACACACCAGAAATTGTTGAACGTGTCGAGAAATGGGTAGCTAAAAATCTATCTGATACCACCTTACGTTTCCCAGATTTCTCCTGAATAAATATTTTCGTTATTAATTTATTTTTTTCATATCATTTTGTCCAAATGATGAATCTCTTTTTTTAAATATCAGCGTGTTTTTCTTTTCTTGATATGAGCAATGTTTTTTTAGAGATATCATTTGGTTTAGATTAAGACTCAACTGTTACTGGATTTGTTGAATCGTTATGCATTTTTTGACTACTTTGTATATTTTTGAATGTTATACATGAATTTATTTTTATATAGTTGAATTGAATAGAAAATGAAAGAAAACAAATTGCCCGTATGTGTGTTTCATTCATGTGATTTCGCCGTATTACTAAAATCGATAATGTGCTAACGCTGGCAACACTGTGCAGGCATCAAGGCACCGTCAAACAAAGACTAGCAAACAATAATAATCAAAACAAAAACAGCAGTTCGATTAGCAAGCGCCAGAGTGCCGTGGTGATGGTTGTGTTGTGTGTGAATCGGTGAACATGGTTTCGATTTTTAGTACAATACACTAACACAGCATCAGCGACGCTGTTGTACGCATACACTGTCATCATCGTCAGTTTAAAGAATAGAATCGACGCATTAAGACGGGTGGTGGACCTACTGCGATCAATTATAAACAAAACTTGAGTGAAAAAATCGACTTGTTCTGGTGAATCTCGTTGCGAGTGAAGTGAAAATTGTCGTTTGTGAAACCGTTTATTCAATTCCGAATCAATCATTCCATTTGCATTTTTACGAATATTCAACATAATGGCTGACGCAAATTCCGAGCAGGTAATATATAGAGACAGAATTCGTTAAATACGTTATACGTATAGCACAGTATAAGAGAATAAACGCAAAAAATATCGATTTTTCACCAGCAAGTGATTCATATAACGTTAATTTGCTTTTCTTTGATTTTCTATCGTTTTTCTGTTTTTTTTTTCTTCTTCTTTCGGTCGATTTTTCACCGTATTGCAACAAATGACGGGCTTTAATTGGATTAGGCAAAAGAATTCAATAAATTGAAGCACGATTTGGAGGACCATCGTGAATTAATTTTACTCCTCAGTTCAGTGCTAAAATGGGAAAAGAAATTCTATCCAGGGGTCATATTTGGCGCAATCAGTTTCCTGTTTCTGATTTTATGGTTTTTGAACTTGTCGCTGTTGACATTGGTCGGGGTCATTGGCGTTGTAGCTGTCCTAATTGATTACGGTTATCCAATGGTTTCGAAAATCATTTTCAAGCCTGAAAATTGGACTGGCGCCCAAGAGAAGGCCTATGAAGAGGTCGTCAACGAAATCCTAGCCATCAAATTGAAGGTGTGCGGCTTCACCAAATATGCATGCGTACCAAAAGAGGAAAAAACTATCGTGGTAAGTTGAGATTCTTTTCTTCTTTTTCTTCTTCTTCTTCTTTTTCTCCTCTGTGAGATTGATTTGGTGGATTAAAATAATCGATGCGGAAAAAAATGAAGTTGCTACGTAATTTAATCCACTTTTTGTTGGATGACGTAATCGCTCCCATGTAAATTCAAGGTCCCATAGCACGTACATGATGAGTGAGAAAATGAATGAATTTATTGCGATTTTTTTTCTCGCTCATATGAGTCTGTGGCACCGTAATTAACGCGCAATTCACTATTAAGTTTCGATTCATGTTGTTAATTGTTTACACAATTTCAAATTGCTAATTTTTGTTTTTGTGTTTTTTCTTCCTTTTTCGTTTCAGTACTATTTGGGAGCAGCTGGTGGTTTTATTGCGCTCGCCTACGTTGGTTCAGTCATAGACAACTTTTTGCTGAGCTATTTGGCCATTCTTAGTGTTGCATTGTTCCCCGGATTGTGCCGTCACGGTGTTGGCAAAATTGTCATCGAAAAATTGCTGGACCAAGTAAAGCAAATCAAAGAGAAAACCATCAAGAAAAATTAAATTTGCAAAACAAAACAACAACTTTAATTTGCACGCGCTCGACGCACTTCGCATTCCTTTTTTAATTTTTTTTTTATTTTTCTCAAAAAATATGTGTGCGTTGCATTTGTGTCGCTTTCGATAGACAGACAGCGGCTACTATTTAGAAAACAAAAATACCATCCACATACACACACACATAGACAAACATAAAAAAGAAAGAACAACCAAAGCAACCATCGCGTGTATTGCTGACATTTTTTTTGTAACGGCGAGCAACGTTGAGCAGTGATTTCATTTTCAACGCCACAGCACAATTTAGACATAATTTATTATTTACAACAACAACAACAAAATGAAGAAGGACAAAACCCAAAAAATACTAAACATTTAATAATATTACATGTGATTCATAACATTTAATCTTTGATAATGGATAGGAAACAATGTTTACTTGATAACCTAACACAGAGAGAGAGAGAGAGCAAATTTAGAGAGCATTGTACGCACTGAGTTTGCATGTTAGAGAAACGATTTTTTTTCCATTTCCCTAGATCCCAGGCAATGTAACACATACATATTTAAATGGAACATATTTATAGAAAATAGTCATAAAAACATGAAATCAGGCACACCGATAGTAAATCGTCTGACTGACACTTGTTGTTTGGTCGGACGTATTTTCATTGGGACTTTAAATTTGTTTCCAAATTTTTTTCTCGTCGGCCCACATTTGTAGGGGATAATCTATTCAACAAAAAAAAAACTTTTTAAAACTGTTCGTATTTGTAGCTAAATGAAATTTTTAAACAACAACACAAAAATTTATTACTCGAAACGAAAACATTGACTTTATTCAAAAATTAGCTCATGTGTTTGGATTAAACTATATATTAGATGTCATGTCAGAAGCAAACCAATTAATTGAATCGATACCAAAATTTATGACTTTCTTGAAACAAACTAACAAAAAAATTATATTTAAAACAAAATATTTGACATTTTTTATACGGAAATGAGGAGCATGGAATAATTTCGTGCATTTTTTTTCACAAAACATAGCAAAACGAAAAAAATTCTCATCAAATTGATAGATGGTAGAATGAACAAAAAAAATGTAATCGTGTTTGTGTCCAATTTTATAATTTTTACTTATCATTTGCGCGCGCATATAATACTTTATTTTCCACTTGAAAAATTGTTTTCTACATGAGAATTATTTGAATCAAAATGACATCACCATTATCATTCTTGAAAGAAATGTAAACAAAATTGGCTGCTATATTTGTTTTTATCACACCAAAAAAAGGAAGAAATCTGTATCTTTGAAAATTTTACGTACCAAAAACAAAAAACATACCGCCAAAATGCTATGCCCGCCATAAATGTTAATCTCATTCAAAATACGGAGTTTTAATTTACGAATACTGAACAAACAACCAAACAAAAATTGCATTCAATACGACTTGTTTACCATGTTTGCAGCTACCAAAGAATCACTCACAAATTTAAAAATAAATAACGATAATAATAAATGTCCGAATGATAATATTTAATCGAAAGACGAACAGCTAACGCAACAAAAATGCAAATTGAATAGATAATCAAACATTGAACAATTGTACTCACGTATGCAGAATGAGCAAAAGAAGAGAAGAAAAAAGCGAATAAGAAATTTGTAGCACACATACACACAGTTTCATAGATGTGTCCAAAGAATGCCATTGTTTGGTGTCACTCTTTAAATTCGTGTTTTTTTGTTATTTTGATGAGCACTATATATGCGCCCAAATGATCTCATAAATGCGCTGTGGTTTGTTGCTGGTTTTCCCCACCAAAATGCTGAATCAAATTAGCGTTCGACAAATTCAATAATTGGTTTCGCAATTTATTTTTGCATAATATTTTTTTCTCCTTCTCGTTTTGTGACCAACAAAATCATTTTCATGCCGCTCCGCTTACTACTGTTTAAAATGGATAGGTTTTTTTTCCCTCGATCGTCCACTTTGTTTATGTGTATATATCTGTAAGTGCATTATTATGATTCGTGTACCTAATTTTATTGATTTTTATTATGGGTAAAGTCCAAAAACCGATCGAAAAAAAATTTGTTTTACCGCATACGTATCGAGTCAATGGATTGCGACGGTGTCGATGTATTTTATTTCATTTTATCATGGAGCAGAGGGTCATTAATTGAACTCTGCTGATAGACGCCAATTCTCATCTCGTTTGCATACTGATAAAAATGCGTCGAAATAAAATTCATTTTTAGATTCGCAATCATGTCGGTTATCTCTTTTCGTCCAACACTTGTTTTTGTCATCGTTTTATTTGGTGTGTCTCGCGCACGAACATACACGCAAATTAAATTTTGACATAATTGACCTGTCGCTTCATTGACTCCTTCACACTCTTTAACATTGTTTCGGCTGAACAAAAATGAAAATAAAAGAGATAATTTTGAGAACAAAATAAAGATGAAGAACAAATTTTTGAATATCATCAAAAATTAGGTAGCATAAGTTTGACGTTTCTTTAGCATAATTGCAATGTTATTGGTTTTGTTCGAATTCGATATAACCGTATCCAATGTACCAGTACCTATATATTTTAAAGAAAAAAGAACAAACAATGTATTTATGTATTTTAGATTTTTAGCCCGTATTTTATTATTGTATAAGAGATTTGCTAAACAAATTCTGGTTAATTTTTTTTCATTCTTTTTTCATCTTTTGAAACACGCTTAACCAAGAGAAAAACGGCGAGACTTTTTTTCCGTTTGTAAATCTCAATTTTTCGTTCGTTTCCCTAAAATGCGCTTTCAAATGACTATTGTTTTCGTTTTAGAAAAATGAACATTAGTCATGATTTGATCACATGGATGTGAAGCGAGAATGTAGTGGGCATGTATTGGTCTACGTACGGCATTTTTACACTCTCATTCTATTGATATGTTAGAACAACGCTTTTCATTTATTTTCGATTGATTTGTGTGTGATTCATAAGATATTCAATTTTAACTGTGTACTCACATTTTGTACCCTCTACCAAAATCAGAAACAAAAAAAAGAGAAAAACAATTCCTATCGAACTGTGTACAACCTAAATACAAAATTCCAATACAGATGATATTCAAATCTAATCACTTAATCAATAGACAAACAACACAAGAAATAACAAAAAAAAATAACACAAAATTTGAAATCAAGAATACAAATGTCGCATTCATGCGAATTACAATAAACACAGTAAATAAGAAACTTTATAAACGATACAACAATAACAACAAACAAACCAATCTGTCTTGTGCATTTCATTTTATATACACATAAATAGAATTGATATTAAAAGCTAAACCAACTTCAAAGTATTTTCCATTTTTATTTGCAATCGTTTCGGAGTTTCATTTCAGGTAAGCGAAGGGTATGTGTGTGGGATATGGAGGAAGAGTGGCATCGTTCAATTGAATGATTATGGGTTTTGGATGTGAAATTTTCGTGTATTTTATTGTTGTTCCTTCGATTTGAACGCTTGTTATTGAAATGTAATTTTAGATGGGGTACTCAAGATCCAATCGATCTGATCCATCAAATGCGTCACATATCGTTGACTACCGAAATGTTCCGTCCGCACTTGTACCCAACCATTTTCACAAGCCAACGCAATCCCAAACTATTACAAGCCACCGAATAGTTCGTCAACCTTTTTGCTATGTAATGTACGACGGATCCATGTCCTAGTGAGCTATATCTACCAGATTTTTCGATGTAATCAACTCCCGAATAAGAGCATACATGCTCGTTATACAGCAGCAATTCATGAGGGAGTTACTGGCCGTGCATTGAAATTCGTAGTTCGGCGCGGCGAGGCGAGGCGTGGGAGCGCACGCGACATCAATCAAGTCTCCAATGCGCGCTTGCCAATCGCAATATAAACCGTTCGCTGGGGTACATTTTACACAATCCTTTTTTTTACTGTCCATCCATCCGTCGGTTGGTTCGTTTGTTCGTTCCGGCAGTGGAAATTCATGCTGACATAATCATTGAGCTTGCTTTTTTCCCAAGTTTCCGTGTAGAGAATACCAAATGTGTGTATCCATTAAATGCAAACTCATCCACTGGCATACATTCGTTTAATGAGCGAACCTTCTTTCGACTTGTGTCACAGGTATATATATATGTATAATACGAGCAATAGTGTAATGGCAGTTGCTGTCGTTGCCGCACCGTGCTTGCATGTTACTGGATCATTTCATTAGGTGCATCTGTCGCCAATGTTTGTGTATCATCATTTTGTTATTTTTGTGAATGTTAGGTTGGCAACAAGACTCGTTGGCACATGCCATCCACACCAATACATGCATACATCATTTCCTCTCCACCAAAAGGACTCACGCTCGCTCTCTTTCTTTCTCTCGTTTGCCGCGTATACACATTTTCCATCCCATGGATCCGTCACTTCTCCAAACAGACAGAGATAGAGAAAGGGCAAAGAGAGAAACGGAGAGCATTTCTTTCGATGGGAAATTCGAATAACCATTTCGCGTAGATAAAAGCTACAGCACGCTCAGCATCTCAGTTCATTATCAGTTTGGCCGATGATCAAAACAGTCATCCAAAGGAACCAAATCAGTGTTGTATGGTAGATTTTGTTGGTTGAAATACAATAAATAAAAACACATCGAAAGCGAATAACGTTTTTTAATCTGCTTAAAGTGAAATAGTACGTAAACGTATCAATTTCTGTTCTTGTTTTTTTTTCGACTGTCGTTGGAAAATCGGAAAATTCAGTTTAAATCCGAAATGATATAGGATAGTTTTCAGCCGTTGTTTTTTTTTGCGGCTTGTTCGTGTATATATTTTTTGTTAGTTTTTTTTTTGTGCGCCAATACAAAGAGAAAGAGTTGCACAATCTAATCGATTTTCGGCTCAAAGTGCTTTGACGAGACCTGTTTACATACCACATTTGGAGTTCGGCACATGTGCGACACACGCATAGCGAATTTTAAAATTGCACGATAAATTCAATTATACAGTCACATCCGTTTCGACAACGACAAAGCTCAGCACACATAAACACACACCGACTCGATAAAATCGTGAATGTGGAAAAGGGGTCGCATTTTTTCCCTTCTCTTTTTGTGAAAACTAGTGCGCTTTTCATTTCAAACAGTCATAATAATTGACATAACATACACATAATAGACGTTTGATATTTTGCTTTTGCATCATTCATTGGCATTGCAACTCAATTTTCCGGTGGTTTCCAGCTTCGATTTAATAATGTTACAAGTTCCATTAGCCCGAGTCCATTTATATTCGTATCAACATGTTTGATCTGTTTTTCCATTTAATTCAGATCAATGTCTCTCTCGACGGTCATGTATCAGTCATATTTTTTTCTATCGTATCGCCGAACAAATTGGCGGTTGTCTGTCATATACATTTGCATCATTTGCTATGAACTCGATCGTCGTCATCATCATCAATGCCATAATCGACGGTGTGTGTGTTGGTTTAACCGGCGGATAAAACAAATTCTGTTTTATATTCATCATTCTTCCACAATTTGCATCGGTCCGATTTTTTTTCCTCTCCTGATAAATTCAAAGACCTACCACTTTTCAAATCAGCTCACTTTTTCCCCACTCATAATGGTTCGTTTTTTTTGCTCCAATTTCACATCTAATGCAATTATCTTGTTCCTGTATAACGAACAGGTAATTTAAAATGAAATCGTGGATGGAGATAAAAAAAAAGAGACCGAAGCGAAAGGCAGCGTACGAAGTATAGGCAAGTTGGAGCCGAGCGCACGATAAATTGAATACGAGAGAGAGATTGACAATCTAGACGTAGGTACAAATGAAAGGGTTTCCCTTCACTCAAAATTGTGCGCTGTTCGTGTCGGCCTCCCGTTCATTTTCGTTTACTTCGGTGATTGAGGTTTTTCGTCGTCACTTTTGTTGCGTGTATACGATATTTTCGAACGTGCACCATTTTTGTAAAATTCATCCCTTTTGTGTATTCCACCACACGGCCCAAAATCACGACTCGTTCATTCGTTCGTTCGTTCGCCAGCTCCGCATGGCGTGTGGTGTATGTGGCAGCTATCCGGTCTTTAGTCCGCAGATTAAAACATAAATCATAATAAACGAAGCAGAAATTTTCCCGAATTTTCCCTTGTCGGCAAATGGGCTGGCGTGTATGTATGTGTGCGGAGCACGTGCATGTTTCTAACTCCATAACTCAACACCCAGTGAATTCAAATTGATGGTAATCAATACAAATTTTAAACTTTGTCTAATTGGACAGACTGCAAAAGCAAACACAAGTGTGTGTTGCGAAAAAAAAGAACCGAGAAAAAAATAAAAATAAAGTACAAACTGAAAGAAAATCCAGCAACAGCAAAATCCAGTGTGAACTCAGCTGAAGACTCGACCATCATTTTTGGAATAACACTCACGAAAATCCACTTGACGGAGCAGCATAATAATTTTTTTCGGGTAATTTTACCATGTTTATTATTCTGTTGCATGTTTGTATCGTTCATATTATGAATTAGCACCCCAGAAATGGGCGACGATTACGATGAAAGGCTGCTTGATGAACATTAGAGCGACGAAAATGAGCGAAAGAGATGGAATAAGCGAAAAATGCTCTAGCTAAACGGGCATTAAAAGTTTTATAGCCGTTTTCAGTATATCAGTGGGTCGTAATGAATAATAAAGTTGGGAATTTTATGCAAATGTTAAATCAACTGCGACGCATTCGACTTGAGCGCAGGCATGACGACCGAGCGAGAAAATGAACGTGAAAGAGATAGGATGAAAAGAGTAGTGACGCATAAAAATGCCTCTCAATTATTTATTTAATCATTTGTGTGAGCCTAACTGCGCTTCACATTAAAATTGCAATCTATTGTATGTAGTGTGTGTGTGTGTGTGTGTGTGTGTGTGTGTGTGGCAACGACACAGAGTGTGAGTCGACATGACCTGAACTGAACATCTAGCCGATTCCATATGCAACCATTCACTGTTTAATCGTTCACGTACTACTTCATTTTCCATCGTTGAATTTTCTTCGTTGTTCGCATGCCAAACGAAACATACACTCACTCACTCACTCAGTCGTACATTCGGGGGACATGTAAAGGAGCATTCATTGTATGCGAGCGAGAGAGCGAGCGCACTTGGCGCACGTACGTGTTCGCACATGAAATAGTTGAAGCGATTTTGTGTGGCAAAAGGCGATCCTTTTTGCAATTGTCTAATGAAATCCAATTAATTATTCATATGATGTTCGCTTTATGATGCAGATTTGCACAGTGTTACTATTCATTCTCTCGCTCTCTGTCGCTCGCTTGCTCGTTTTCGCGTGAGATAAATTTCGTTACGTAAATGAGCCAGTAAATGCCAGGCATGACGATGAATTCCATTTTTAACATTTATTTTCCATTTACTGGCTCCTCTTTCCTTCTCTCTTCTTCTACCATTCCCTCTGCACTCTCCAAAACCTCAAATAATTCAAATGCTTTGTTCAATTACAAATCCCCACTTTGATAAATTAGACAAGTTGAATAGAGAAAAGCATTTGTGATTCACCTTTGGTCGTCTTTCATATGGTCCCCCAGATTTGATATCATTTGTGTATCGAATCCAACTGAAGGGAAATGAGAATAGGCGGCAAATGAATCATTCGATTGAAATGGCCGTGGGCAAATCATGCAAGCTAAATTAGAAGCGATTCGAATTTAATTGACTTTTATGCGGCAATCTGTGTGATCGATCTGCACCTGAGGCCACCGAACACGAATCATTGATTAAATAGATTCCATGTTCGTCTCATGGTTATTTAATGATCCTATTGGCATTTTTTTTGCAGAGATCGCTGCCTGCTTAAATTCAGGCAAAATTAGTATGCACTACCCAGATTTTTTTTTCTGCTCATTTCTACAATGCAAATATTTGGCGAACATTCATTCAAATAATTTATAAATGAAATATGCTCCGGCTAAATTAACAAGAAGAGATAATAGTCGATAATGGATCGAACATTGTGCCACATATTTGCAACGATGAGCATCCAAGGTACAACTGAATATTTTATCTTTTCAGTTCAGCAAAATGTTTATTGAAGCGTTTATTGGATCAAATGTCGAAATCGTTATCTTGTACAATGGAAACTGTTATCGCTATTGCTATTGACCTGTAAATATCAGAGCACCTCTCTTTCCCATACTCTGTGTCCGGAATGGCATGCAACACCCGATTACACACCGTTTTGAATATGCATGAACAAGAGAACACATGAACACACACACACACGCATACATCCCTTGCAACTGGCTTGCGGCGGTAAATGTAGCTTGCGATCATCCCTGACCAAAAACAGATAAATCGCGAATTCATAAGATAAAAACATGATGGTCATTCATGGAGTCTAGAATGCTTTTTTATTGCTTTGGAATACTTTCTAGTCAGCAGATTTACTTTCCGTTTCACTAATTTTGTCTGCATATTATTGACCATATTCAGCAATTTTGCTGGAAAAAAAAATTTTCAGCTCACATTATTGAAAATATTTTTTTACATGTTTCGCTCTTATTTTTGGATATATGTTCACACCTAAAATGGAAAATAGAAAATTGAATTCAACGATTTATAAGCGAAATAAACGAGTTTGAACGAAATATAGCGAGAAAATGGGAAATAAATGTCAAATAAAGTAACATATAAATAGGAAATATACAAGAGTTCACCCCTTTTCTATCAAATAAACACTGAAATCGGTCTTGGTGTTCTGAAACTGGGGCTGGGTATACCACTTGAAATTCCATTTACCATACACTTGTTATGCTTTTTGTAAGAATTTGAAACTTTCTATTTCGAAATGTGCGCTCCTAGATCCGTGTTCTTATTATATGACATTCAAAAACTTTGTGAATCCGATTTTAGTCTTGGGATAACATTGAACTATGAATAGTTTACGGTACAAAACTTCATCTCCGTTCAGAAGTAGGGAGCACGGGAGAGAGCGTCATCTGTTCAGTATTCAAACTTTAAATGAAGTAATGCGTTTACTTGCACATGAACCGTATCGTGGTGGCTGTGGCAGAGGTTGAGATTGGGCGTGTTGAAAAACTGGCAACAAAGAATGGTGTTCAATTTAGTGTATTGTGATCGAGAAACTCGGTGACAATCTTCATATAATATTCACAAGTTGTCGTCACTTCATGCATATGAAGCGTTTCGCATTAACTTCTATCGGTCGGAATGAGTTTCGCTTTCGACACGATTTAATTTTTTCCCTCTGCTTCATAGACGAACAAAAAAATCCACTTTAAATCCTGAAAGAAAAACTGTACAGTCTACAATGTGTAACATAGTATGCCATTTTCAGTCTGTGCTCCGACGAGATAAAGCGGAAGACAGACAAAATCATAATTTGATAACTTTGTTTTAAAGCCACTTTCGACTTTTGTTGTACGCGATTTTTTTTTTCGCTGTGCCTCGGGCGATACGCGCCCACTCATCATTGGATATTCATCCATGGAGAGTGGTAGAGAAAAATTGAATTCAGACTGAATTTCTATTTGTTTCATATTATCATAGCTTTTAAAAAGGTATCGTATAAGCTCTTATGAAATCAGTTTCGACAAAAGGGAATGCTTGAATCAAGCAGATTGATAAAAAGTCAACAGTATTATGTGAGTGGCGGACGAGAGAGAAAAAAAAGAGAAATCCAACTGCAATACACTTCCAATTAATTGAAACCATGACGACGATGGTTGTGCATTTCAAATGATGACAAAGCCAATTAAATATTCAATGCAGCGGAACAGAATGCAATATCTGACACAATCCCAGTAATTGATTGATTGAAGTGAACCGTTTTTGTAGTTTGGAATTTTACAATTTAAATAGTTATTGCGGTTTAATTTAATTTGATGCACTACCCAAACGTTGAGTGATCATAATTTATCAAACCGAGACAAAAAAAGATTTAATCAAGTCATTTACCATGAATGCGCCATTAATTCCAATCGCTGCACGCTGCTGCTACACCCCGGCAAAACTTATGGCAAGTAATTATACATTATGACTCTTTGTCATTTTTCACTGTTCCCTGAAATAATCTCGCATTTAGTTCATAGTGCACGTTTCGTACGGGTTTGACAGAAAAAAAAGCTCTTTATTTCGTTTTCTATGCTGAGAAAAAGGATGAGTGTTCTTCGGTTGAAAGCCTTGTCTTTGATAAGGCGCCTGCATATACATAGCAGGTAGACAACATACGATTATAATCCAAGGATCGTATTCATAATAAATAATAAGAAATTAATTAGAATTCTCCTGTGGAAATTTTAATGGATAAAACTAAGGAGGCCTTGAATGTCGCCGCCACCTTCTATCCATGTACCAAATGATTTGGCTGACTGAACATTTCCCATTTCGTATTGTACCGGCTCATATATTCATTGTGCACAACGTCTCTGTTACGTTCATACCAAGGATCCGCGCGTAAAATGAGAACCGAGACGCATTTCTTATGCGATGGTGGTGTGAAGATTATTGCCGCTATTGTTTGTCATGTGCTTTGGTTGTGTCGCATCGGGTTCTTCAATATGGGAGAGGCGTGTGAGTGCCTCTAATTCTACTTCTGCTTCTGTTTCACATGATGACGATGGCAAATAACTCGAGAGCATGTGTGTGTACGTAAAATACGCTGCTTGCGATGAATGTTTTCCTTAAAGCATAAATGACATGATTTCATTGCATTTTATTATTATTTAATATTTATTTATGTTGAAAATAAATCCCACGACGTCTGTATATGTATGAGTGTGGGTGTTAGAACAGAGCTACTGTTGGCTGAAATAAAAATAAAGTTCACGAGGAATAAACTTTCGCTCGATCCAATCGACTTAAGTAAATGACAACCATGTTTCTATCGCTCGAGCATTTCCGTCCTCAACGATTTTGATGTAAACAACGCACGACGCAAAATGCCACATTCGAAACGCCAAAATAATTACATTTTCGTCATATGACACAATCGAAACTGACACATCTCTAAGTCCGTGATACAAAGGCCATTGAAAATGGCATGGAAGCGTTTCTTCTTCTCTCTCTTGTGTATGAATGTGTGAATAAGACGAAAAATTCAATCGATAACTGGTATTTATGTAAGACAAACCAAGGTTTAATATGCAAGAAGTGCCAGTAAATGTGAAACAGTACAGCAGAGACGTGGAGGTGGAACGTAGTGGGCGCAACTATGATACAATATCTCGTCTTAATAGCTTTATGTCTTAGCAAATACTTGGAACCTTTTTCTTCGTTCGAACGCAATTAACTGACGTGTCCAATTCCATGCTGAATTTAGGTGCCACTTGACACTCATCGATCCAATTACACGGAAGAGATTTTCTGCCTTTGAAAAATCGATTCCGGATATACCATTAATATTATATCAGATTTTCCAACAAAAAATGGCCGCCGAATTC